CCCCATCAACGACCGCTATAAAACCCCCCCACCAACCCACCACCATATCCACCACCAGCCAGCCAACCAACACTTCCCTCACCAACCAAACCAAACCAAACCAAACCAACCAACCAACCCACCCAACTCACCAACCATGCGTTTCGACATCGCCCTCCTCTTCGGCCTCGGCCTCGCCACCGGCGCCGCCGCCCAGCACGTGCAGTTCGTGTCCTACGAGGCCATGCAGCGCAACACGGTGCCGTGCAGCAAGCGCTCGCCCGGCCTGCCCGACAACTGCCTCAAGCCCGGCACGCCCCCCAACCTGTACACCCGCGGCTGCTCGGTCATCACCCGCTGCGCGCGCGTCAACAACAACTAGGGGGTGTGATGTTGTGATGGGAGTGGTGAGTTTTTCTTTTTTCCAAACGGATTGGATGTTCGGGATGGCTGATTCGTGAGTAGGGAGGTATGAGAGAGAGAGAGAGGGAGAGGGAGAGAGAGGTGCGATGGTGGAGTGGAGTGGAGTGGAGCGGAGCGGAGTGGACCATTGTCTTTCGATAGCAGGACTGGCTGTTCTTTGCCGGGTTCTTTTTTTATCTTTTTCCTTTTTCTTCTTTCTCTTCTTTTCAATCCTTCGATCGGGGATTTTGGACAAAGGCACACGAAGCTGAGAGGAGATTCTTGAGATATCTTTTTTTTTTCCCCTTGCTGTTGATATCAATTCATTCACATTGGCCATGCGCATGCTTACTTTGTTCGATGACTTTCGTGCTTCTGGTCTTTCCCCTCCTCCAACCGTTACTTTCCTCATGCAACGGCAGCAGCCCCTCCGCCGCCATCGATTACATCTTGGTTTGTAGGTTCACCGGTTCTTGCCTCGAGTTCTTCCGGCTGCTGGAGACACTGGTGAACAGTATACAAGGCGTCGTCGCGGTGAGGGTGGCGGTCCTCAGCTTCAGGCAGGATCCTGGTCATCCGATCCATAAGAATGACGTGCACTTCCATCCGTTTCGTTGGTACCGCTGAGGTGCACAAAGCCAGCGGTGTCGGAGTGAAAAGACGTTAGTTGTGGAGTTAATGGAAGGACAAAAGGATGTGGCTCGATTGATGGAAGATGTTATGTTGGAAGTGACGGAGAAGGCAGTCGGAACAGAGGAGGGTGTGAGGAGCGAGGAGCGTCGACGAATAAAGTTTTAGACCTTTCCGTAATCAGCATCCGGCATCCGGCAGCGACTTTTTCATCTGTAGGAGTAGTACTCTGACTGAAGAAGAAGAGAAATTGAGCGGTTTTTTTTTTCAGTCCATAACACTCGTAACCAGCTACCCGATAACCTGCCCCTCTCCGTTCAGTAATAGACTGAAAGAAAAGAGAGAAGGGGAAAAAAGAAAAGGCGCCACCCAAATGCCCCCCCCCGAAAAAAAGAGCCACCCACGCACGCACGCTATGCATATAGACCGCGAAATAAAGTCAGGTCTAAAGAAAAAAGAAAATGTCCCCTCCATCTCATGAATCGTCGAAAGATCTCCCCCGCCCCCTCTCACCGGAAGAAGAAGATTGTCGAAGAGAACAAAAAGCCCCTCCTTCCCCCCTCCCTACTACTACAACCTACAACCTACCACCTCTACTACTCCTCCACCGGAAACTCGTCCCCCAGCCTCAAGCTCGCCTTGACATTCATGCTCAACAGCTCCTGAATCAGCAGCTTCGCCGCATACGGGATCGTCATGCGGACGACGCCCTTGCTGCTGCGGCAGCTCTGGCACCACCCCTGGTAGCCCATCATGCCGCACACGTCGCAGACGTCGCACTCGTGCGCGTCGGAGCTGAGCATGAGGCGCTCGAGCAGCAGCTGGCTGGCGCCGTACGCGATGAGGCAGTCGCGCTCCATCTCGCCGAGGCGGAGGCCGCCGTCGCGGGAGCGGCCCTCGGTGGGCTGGCGGGTGAGGATGGCGCGCGGGCCGCGCGCGCGCGAGTGCATCTTGTCTTGGACCATGTGCTTGAGCTTCTGGTAGTAGATGGGGCCGAAGAAGACGTAGGCGGGCAGGGACTCGCCCGTGATGCCCGACGTCAGCATGTCCTTGCCCGAGTAGGAGAAGCCGGCCTCGAGCAGGATCTGCGACATGTCCTCGGCCTTGCTGCCGCCGAAGCAGGTGCCGTACTGGAGCTCGCCGCTGACCACGCCGGCCTTGCCCGACAGCAGCTCGAGCATCTTGCCGACCGTCATGCGCGACGGGAAGCCGTGCGGGTTCATGATGATGTCCGGGCAGATGCCCTGGTCGTTGAACGGCATGTCCGTCTGCTCGGCGATGATGCCCACGACGCCCTTTTGCCCGTGGCGCGAGGAGAACTTGTCGCCCAGCTCGGGCCGGCGCGTCTGGCGCGTCTGGATCTTGATGACGGGCGTGCTGTTTTCGTTTTCGGTGAGGAGGACCTTGTCGACGTAGGCGGGGTCGGGCAGCTTGTAGCTCATGGGTGTCGGCCTGAACTCCTGCGGCGGTCTCCTCCTGCCCTCCTCGAGGCCGACGGGGTTCGTCTGGGTCGGCACGAATTTGTTGAGGTAGACGTCGTCCTTCTCGAGGAGCATGCCGACTTCCGCGATGCCATCGGCCTCGCCGAGCTTCTTGTGCCTCGCGTTGATGGGGCCATCGGCATTCCTCTCTGGGCCCGTGATCTTGTCCTGGGAGCCGTTGGCATATGACTTGAGTGTCGCGCTAGCCTTCTTGAACACCTGGCAACGACCGAATCCTCTGTCACAAGAGGCCTTGTTGATGACGAGAGCATCCTCAATATCGTAACCGGAGTAAGACATGACGGCGACAGTGGCGTTCTGCCCGGCGGGAAGCTTGTCGTACTTGATGAGCTCGATCGTCCTCGTCTTGACCATGGGCTGCTGGGGGTAGACCATGAGGTAGAGCAGAGTGTCGATACGAGTGAACTGGTTGTAAGCAATGGCGCCGATGGCTTGCTTGCCCATGGCACATTGGTAGGTGTTACGAGGAGACTGGTTGTGGTGGGGGTAGGGAATGAGACCAGCGACGGCACCGAGAATCGTAAAGGGCTCGATTTCAAGATGCGTATGGTGTTCTTTGAGATCCTTCTCGTAGATGCAAATGTTCGAGTCGTTTTCCTCGTTGACATCGACGTACTCGACGAGACCGCGAGAAAGGAAGTCATCAAACTCCATGGTACCCTTCTGCAAAGCCCTGAGGTACCGTGCAGACACCCTGGACTTTCCACGCTCGACAACAATCAACGGCCTGCAGATGCGGCCTTCGTCCGTAGCGATCTGCACAGCGCGATGGTGGTGGTTGATGTGAATGCTGACAAACTCAGAGATACGGCCCATGCGACGGAACTTGCGGAAGCCGTTCAGGAACTGCCTGGGTTCGCGGGTGAGCGCCAAGGGCGAACCGTTGACGAAGATGATGTAGGCCCCGTCGGAATACAACTCGGTGCCGCTCGCCGATTGCACGTCCTCGGCACCGAGAATGAAGACTATCCGCCTCACGGGATCTTCCGGCACCTCGGTCGTGATGTGCGTCATGAGCGCCAAGTTCTTGACCAGACCACAGGCCTCACCTTCGGGGGTATCTGAAGTGCACAGCATACCGAATTGCGAAGGCTGGAGCGCACGAGGACCCGAGACCTTTCTTGTCTTCTCGAACTGCGAAGTGATACGGGTCATCATACCGAGGGCGGAAATGTAACTGAGGCGGCTGAGAACGTGGGTGATGCCCGCTCTCTCCATGCGAAAACGCTTCAAGCTCCAATTGCCCGTGGCAATCGCTCGTTCCATGCCCGCAGTGATGCTCCAACCGTGCGTCTGGATATGATCGTAGGCATCGAATTCCGCGGCCCTGTTCGGCTTCTTGAGGATCTTGTCGATGGCGGCCTTGAACTGGTAGTTGAAGCTCTTGAAGCTGTCTTCGAACAGCAGTGCCATCATCTGTCCGGCCAACTCCAATCTTTTGTTTCCGACGTAATCCCTGTCGTCCACCATCTTCGGGTCGTGGATGGCCATCAGAACCCTCCTGGTCATGTACGCGATGTAGAGTGCCTTTGGGCGGAAGTTCATGCCGACCACGGGGACGTGGCTCATCATCATGTTCGAGAGGGCGTCGATGGCCTCCTGCTGCATGTTCCTGGCTTGTCTGTTTCCAATGGGCTTCCTGAGCTGACGCGTCCGTTGGCCGATGTATTCCAGAGCCTGGTTCTGCGTGTTTATCCTCTCGTTCTTCTCATTGTAGCACGCCTCAAAGTTGACGGCAAACTCGTCCTGGTACGCGCTATCGTCGCCAGCCACCAAAAGCAGGATTTCGTGCTCGGACTGGATCCCCATGGCCTTGAACGCAATAACGACCGGGATATCCTCAGTAAAGGTGTTGTGCTTCAAGTAAAGCAGGCCCTTCTTCAAAAGCACATAGCCCTTGGACTTGCGGTCGACCGTAAAACTGCCAAACAAGTTAGCAACCGCCCCCTCCCAAAAAAAGCCGCCCCAACCCCGCCATTTCCACCGCACCGCCTTCAACGCACCTGATAACCGAAGCCTGTATAATCCCCTTCATAGACTCCACAATGACGCGGTTCTTACTCAACTGCTCCTGCACCAAAATCACCTTCTCCTGCCCCCTCGTGATGAAATACCCGCCGGGATCGATCGAGCACTCCCCCAGCTGGCCCATCTGCCCCTCCGACTTGCCCCACAGATGGCACTTGTTGCTCCTCAGCATGATCGGCATCCGCCCGATGTGTATCCCCTTCCTCTTCACCTTGACGTTCCCCTTCTTGTACTCGACGTCGACGACGATCGGCGCCGCGTACGTCATGTCGCGCAACCTGCACTCATTCGGCGTCACCGTGCTCTGGATGCCGCGCACGTTCTCCTCCTCGACGCGGCAGGGGCGCAGCACGCGCACGTCGGCGTAGCGCCAGAAGAACTTGTCGTCCACGTCCGAGTAGACGTACTGGTTCGCGCGCAGGATCTCCTTGAGCTGCACGTCGACGAAGTAGTTGAACGAGTCGATGTGCTGTTTTACCAGCCCTTTCACCTTGAGGAATGCTGGTAGCAGGTTCCATTTGTCTTCGGCCGTGTCGATCGGGTCCGTCAGCGACTTGCCGTGGTAGAAGGGCTGCAGCACGCTGTCCATGCCGTCGTCCGCCCGCCGGCGCTGCTGCGGCGGCTTGTGTGGCTTCTTCGCGCCGGTGCTGGGCGCTGAGGTCCCATTCTGCTGTTGCGGCGCCGAGGGCTTGTCTGTCGTAGTCGTGGTCGTGGTCGTGGTCGTCGTCTCGTTCGAGGTCGTCGTCGGTTGTGAGGGATTAGCGGTAGCTTCGTGCGTCTCGGTCGAGTCGGCGGCGGCGGCGGCGGCGGCGACGGCGGATGTATCAGCGGGTTTTCTGCGCGGGACGGCGCGCGGTTTGCGCACGGCTTTTGTGGCGGCGGGCTGGAGTGGTGAATTACAGTCAGAGTTGTTGCGCATTAACTTTTTTTTTTATATATGGAGGGAAGGCTTTCTAACCTGAGCGGCGCCGTCGGCCGTATCCTGAGGACCGTCCGTCTTCTTCGCCTTGGGCGGCATGGTTGTGTGGTTGTGCGGATTGTCGCGGGAGCGAGCCGCGAAATCTGATTAGCGGTGGTTGCAGTTTTGCCCCGCGCGAGTTTGTGAGTTTTCTCTCAGCTTCTGAGTCGGAGGTCGGAGGATCGCCGGCGCGTGCTGCGGTGGGTGACATCCGCCCCGGTCCCTGCGTCGTTGAATGTCGTGGCCGCTTCAGTCATAGCTTCTCATCAGTACACTTGTTGGGACAGACTTCACCGAGTACCTCTGGAATACAAAAAGCCTTAGGTAGCCGAGACAAACGCACTGGCAGATTCCACATCTGATTCCTCGTGAAGCAACTGATGTTTCTCTACTTCGCATCCGTCACCCCATGATGCCCAGCATGCTATAAGCTCAAACCTCCCAAACTAAGACCTATCCTCGGGCTCGAAGACGTCGTTCCAGAAGCCCCGATAATGCTTCTTCTCGCCCGACTCCTTCAACTCCTTCACCTCCGCCGGCGTCAGCTTGAAAGTCGCCGCGCGCAGATAATCCGACAAGCGCTGCTCCTTGGAGCTCGTCGTGATGGGCACGACGTCCTGATCGATGCACCAGCGCAGCGCAATCTCACCCTCGCTGACGGCATACTTCTTGGCCAGGGCAGCGCTGAAGTCATCGATGGGCCCCGGCTTGGCCTTGGTCGCGGCGCTGAGCGGGCCGTACGCCTGCGTGGCGATGCCGTGCTGCTTGTGGAAGGCGATGAGGGGCGCGTGCTGCAGGTACGGGTGGAACTCGATCTGGTTGACGGCGGGGACGACCGTGGCCGTCTTCAGCGTCGCCTCCAGGTGCTGCGGCAGGTAGTTGGAGACGCCGATCGACTTGGCCAGGCCCGCCGCTTGCACCTCTTCCATCTCCTTCCACTTGGCCTGCAGCTCCTCGTCCGACTTGGCGAAGAAGGGCGCGTGGATGAGGTAGCTTTCGTTCGCACCCTACGTCAGCACAGGGGAAAAGAAAAAAGAAAAAAAAGGCCCTCCCTCGCAACCCTTAATTCGACGTGCTGCAAAGATAAAAACTCACAGATCAACATAATCCAACTGCAACTTCTTCAAGCTCAGCTTGATGGCCGCCTTGATGTCTTTGATATTCGCATACACCTTGGTCGTCACGAACAGCCTCTCGCGCGGCACGCCGCTCTCCTTGATGGCCATGCCCAGCTCCGGCTCCGTCTTGTACATCTCGGCGCCGTCGAGGTGGGTGTAGCCCAGCTTGATGGCGACCTTGGTCGACTCGACCAGGCTGCGGTCGATCTGGGACTCGTCGCCCGACTTGTACCACGCCGTGCCCGTCCCGTAGCCGAGCTGTGGGAGCGGCGCATGTCGCTGTCAGCGCGGCCCGTCTGCACACGTCGAAGAAAGGGGAAGGAAAAAAAGGCTTATTGGCTGTGAGGGAGGGGGGTTGGTCATTGGGGAATCGGATAGGCCGGGTGTCAGTCAGCATGCCGCGTGTGTGCATGCGCGTGCAGGGCGTCGCAAAGCAAACGAGCAAGCCAAGGACGTGTAAGCCTCTCCACCGGACGCCCAATGGCCAGGGGAATGAAGCTTAGTAGCAGCGCGCGGCTGCGGGGAGAGCTCAGCTTACCATCGGAATGGAGTTGCCGTCGTTGAGCTTCAAGCTCGGGATGGGGGTGTGAATGTTGGCCATGGCGGAGGTGGCGTGTGCGCGAACGTGTGCAGCCGCAGTGGTAGTACAGCTCCGCGGTGCTTTATTCGCGTGCAGGTATCGGGGCGACGTCGAGGTAGTAGTGAAGCAGCGGGGAGAAAGAACAAGAGCAGCAGAAGTGGATCTCCGCAGTACCGAAGGTGAAGCCGGAGCTTTGATCCCCGCCGCTGCGCCCGCAGCTTTTGTAATCATCGCAACCCGCATTCTTCCTCACCCTCGCGACACGCGCTTGGCAGAATCAATTGCAAAGCACGAGCTACTCTCACACCATTGCTGGGCAGAAGAGCTGCATTCCGTGGACCAGCGGGGGTGGGGGTGTGCAGCAAGCCTCAGCATGAACCCCACCTTAGCGCTATGACGTAGCCCGAGATCGGATGCAACGGCACCCCCGAGACCGCACATGGCAAGAACGAACTCCCCACCTTGAAGACTGCCATGAAAAACGAAACGGGAACAGTCTAGTAGCTCTCTAACACCCACCTTGAAGCGATAAGGTCTTATAGTAATTGCATCCGTCAGGCTTGCAATTCGCACCCAGTTGTGGGACGAGGGGAGGGAGACGTGCGCCGGGAGATCTGGAGACGCTTAGTCTTCAAAGCTTTTGATCTTCTACCTATCTACATATGTGCTTCCCCCTCCCCGTCATTTGATTGCTGCGACCTAGTCTCAGCCTTTGTTGCGCTGTGCTACTTATGCGCAAAGCAATGTTCGCCATGACTGGCCTTATCAACGGATGGATGTATGTACACCACCAGAGTGGGGGAGGGAAATCCCCCCTAGAGCCCGCCCGCCGGCCGTTTGCGGGGGACGGGTCTGCGGCTGGGCACTTTGGAGACAGACAAGACTCATGAAATTCCCTATCGCATCGCGCGCCGCCATCATGGAAACTTTTCTTGAAAAGATCCATATGTTTCTCTTACTTTCATGTTGGCCAGACCGGTGGTCGAACGAAGTGTGAGTCTCGGGTCCTGTCTCCCACCGAATCAGGTAGGTGTATCCACCACCGCACACCCACCATTCATTCATCTCTTCTGCTGAAATGAACCATCCTCCGAGTCACCACCAACAACATGACTCGCATGAACTTCGCTCATGGAAGCCTTTTTTTATTATTGCGTCTATCCATCATGAATAACTCAAGAGGTATTACACTTAAAAAAAAAAAGCGTTCAGGATTACCGACGACGCGTAAGCGGGAAGGATAAGGCTGCGCCGAACATGGAGCTGCTACTAACGAGAGAGAGGGAATAAAGAGAGATGTGGCGCATGGTGGTGGGGTGTGTGGGGAACCCACACCCCCTTGAAAGATGCGGACAAAGGATCGTGTGTGGCTTCCGAGCACTGTGTGGTGTTATACACTACTACCGCTCCTCCTATCTTCATCTTTTGTATCCGCAACGCACGTGTCTTATCCTTTCCACCGCCGCCTCGAAATCGTTTCCCCCCCTTCCTTGGTATAAACCAACTTACTTGCAATCGAATGGTATAGTATTAAAAAGGGTATGAAAAAAGGACAGGATGCAACGAGCCTCGCTCTTTTAGTTGCTCTTCTCGTGCTGCGTGGATACACGCTGGAGGGACACGACTGATCGAAATCGTTAGCATCATCTGAACCAGCACATTGGGGACGACTTCTCCGAACTTACCGAAATCCTCGAGCTTCCTCTGCTTCGAATCCTTCTTGGGCGACTTTCCGTGCATCAGGTTGTCAAAACCGACGCTGTCCTGCAGCAGATAGTAGACGCCGCCCATGACGCAGAAGACGCCGAACGAGTAGATCCAGATACGAACGACGGCCACGATCGACGTCTCGCCGCCGATGAACCAGCCGAACAGGCAGAAGAAAGTTGCGATGATGTCGACCACCAGGATCGCTCCGGTAAGCTGCCACGACGGGATCGAGCTCCAGAAGGGTCCGTTGGCACGCGTAATGAAGATGAGCCAGTTCTCCGTGAGCGAAATCTGCAGGAAGAGGACTTCATCGCGAACACCAAAGTTCTGGACGATACCACCCGAGACACCTTGACCGGCTGCATTGGGCAGATCCTGGTAGGGGAACATGGTCGTGAGGGCAATCCAAGTGCCAATAGCCAGGACCACTCCGAGCAGAACAGACATGCCCCAGAGCTTAGGCAGATTCCACTTGACAGGCGTCTTGGAGAAGGGCGCATTGTCGTAGGCAATGGCCAGGGTGGCAATGTCGGCGAAGATGGCGATGAAGACAACAAGCTCAAGATTGAGAGAGGTGTTTAAGATGGCGATCCAGAGACCTAGGAAAATTTCCAAGTGGAGCGACAAAGCAATACGGTACACGACGTACGCGTACATACGGTGGAAGATCTGGCGGGAAGTCTTCAAGGCATCGATGATGGCGGACAGACCAGGCGCGAGGAAGACGATATCGGCAGCAGAACGAGCAGCATCCGAAGCACCCTCGACGGCGATACCAGTATCGGCCTTCTTCAGCGACGGTGCGTCATTCACACCATCACCAGTCATGGCCACGAGGTAGCCACGCTGTTGCAGGATCTCGACGACGTTGTACTTGTGCTGGGGGAAGACCTCGGCGAAACCGTCGGCAGCTTCGACAAAGTCATAGATGTCCGAACCAGGCATCTCACCACCACCGCCGAGTCCAAGACGCTCGGCGTTGTACACGTTGGTTCCAAGACCGAGCTGGCGAGACGTCTCGCGGGCAATACCGACAGCATCTCCCGTCAACATCTTGATGGAAAGACCAAGAGTCTTGGCTTCGTTGATGGTGCGAGCCGTGTCGTGACGAGGCGGGTCTGAGCAGGGCATGATACCCAGGATCTCCCACGAGCTGTCACCACGCTTCCTGGCAACACCGAGAGAGCGGAAGCCACGGGTGGCAAATTCGGCGACCTTGTTCTTGTATGCGTCATCAATGACTTCCGGAATAGGGTGGTCCTCCTCGACCGTCTTGAGAACGAAGAGCGGAGCGCCTTTGACGCAAATGATGCGTTCTCCCTGAGGGGACTCGACGACAGCTTGCACCTTTTTGGAAACAGGGTCGAAGGGATGGAAATCCAGGACCTTGTACTTGGACAAAACGCTCTTGGCGCGGGGATAGTACTTGAGCGATTTGAGGAATGCTTTGTCGATGGCATCGATACCCTTCTTCTTGCGGGAGGCAGCCAAACAGGCAGTGAGCATCAGATCATCGGGCTCGACGCCAGCGACGGTGAAGGGCTCTGCCAGCGAGAGCTTGTTCTTGGTCAAAGTACCAGTCTTGTCGGAGCAGAGAATCTCGACGCCAGCCAGCGACTCGATGGCCGAAAGTTTCTGGACAATGGCTTGCTTCTTGGCGAGATAGGCAGCACCGACGGCCATGGTTGTGGTGACGACAGCCGGAAGACCGACAGGAACGCCGATGATGGTAATGGCAAGAGTGAACTCCAGAATCTTAACGATGGGGTTTGACCGGTAGAAAGAGGATACCCACACGATGAGCAGGGTGAAGATGACCAAAATCAGGAGGACGACACCGATACCGTTCAAGACCTCGGTGAAATGGCCGGTTCCGGCTTGAGCTGAGGCAACCAGGGAAGCAGCACGGCCGACAAAGGTGCTGTCACCAGTAGCCGTGACAACCATGAAGGCTTCGCCACGCTTGATGGCGGACGAAGCGAAGCAAGTATCGCCCTTGTGCTTGTCGACGGCCAGCGACTCGCCAGTGATGGCGGATTGGTCGACCTGTAGGAAAGCATCTTCGGTGACGACGCGGCCGTCGGCGGGGATGATGGTGCCCTGCAGATTTGTGTTAGCAAGCGCCAATGAGGCGAGCCTGTGTCGAGCGGCGTCTCACCTCTTCGATCTGGAGGATATCGCCAGGCACGACCTCGGGGGCCTCGATTTCAGTGAGAGTGCCGCTCCGGAGAACGGTTGCTTTGAGGGCAAGCGTCTTCTTGAGCTCGTCGACAATGGATCCAGCCTGGAACTCCTGGACGAAACCGACAGTTGCGTTTAGCAACAAGAGAGCGCAAATGACACCGAAATCGACCCAGTCCTGAAGACCAGCAGCGAGAATGGCAGCGGCCTGCGCATGCCGGGGTTAGTATGGAGCGGCGGGAAAGTGGGCGGGCGGTAAAGGATTCGACTTGCCTCCATGACGAACTGAATGGGACCAACGAAATACATGAGGAACTTCAGGATGAGGTTCTCCTTCTCCTCGCTCATCTGATTCAGACCATACTTCTTCCGACGGGCGGTGACTTCGTCGTTGGAGAGACCGGTGACGGTGCTGGTTTGCAGGAGCTCCTCGGGCACAGGCCTCGCGCCGCCGGGCTGGGTTTCCTCTTCTTCGGGGTCAATGTTGGCATCCTGGGACTCGAGCTCGGCAATAAGGGCGTCCATGTCCTCGTCCTCCTCGTCGTCATCGTCAAAGTTGCCGGCCTTGGGCGGGGGCGCCTTGGGCTTCTCATCGTAGTTCTTCTTCTCGTCGAAGGCAGCACCTCGGGTGTCGGTGCCACGAGGGACAGCGCCCTCGGAGCTGCTGTTGGTGTCGGCCATGGCGGGTGGGTGCTAGAATGCAGTCGAAAGCGATATGGAGCGCTAGACGGTACTGCAAATGGTCGGCGCGACCGAGTTGGATGCTCGAGGGCGAGGCGCAGACGAGTGAAGGATGTTGGAATGTGGGTGCTGCACTGGGTAAGCGTGCGGCTTTATTTGTTGTGGACGGAGAGCTGGGCGCTGGGGCGGGAGACGAGGGTCCAGCGCGGCTGCCACAAGACAGCGGCCGGCTTGGAGCTCGACGGGCCACTTACCAGCGTCACCCGGGCCCAATGGCGGGCAATTGGCGCACGCAGCGACGGGGCAGAGCGGAGGCAGACGCGACTCGGGCGAGCGAGAGGGCGGGCGGCGGCGGACGGCGGCGACGCGGCGAGGAAATGGGTCACTCAGCACGCGGCGCAGCGTGAGGGGCGGCGGGCCAGCTTTAAAGGGCGGCTGAATACATGACGGGCTCTCGAGGCCGGGGCATGGGCTTGAAGCCCTGTCTGGCCGTAGGCGGCGCCAATGGCCCTGTCTACCCTGGGTGCGCAGCGTCGAGGCTTCGATCCCGCGTGCGATGGCTAGCGCAATCAGCGTGCAGCTGCTCACCTCGCTCTGTGCCGCCCAGCAACCACGCTGCACCCGACTGCAACCCCCGCATGGGAGCATTCATGCTGCAATGCTGGAGCCAGCCTGCATGCCACGCGCAGCAACGAGCCGGCGCCGCTGCGAGGACCCGAGCGCTCGCGTGCCGGCAGGGCGCGACAGCAGAGGGCACAGCACTAATAGCACAGAGGACCGAGGGTCGAAGATTGAAAACACAGCGTGACAGCAACCCAGAACCAAGCCAGCAAGCCGGCAAGCCTCTCCCCGCAGGAGCTTGGGCCCTCTAGCCGCTAGCGCACCACCCCAGTTCGAACGTCGGCCGGCATCATCTGACTGACTGAGCGAAGGCGCGGGCTTTGTCATACTGGGCGGTTCAATGCGGCGACCGGGCCTCTCCGCGCGGCCGCTGCCGCTCCCACCACCCAGCCCTCAAGCGTTGAGGCAGGCGGCGCGCACGCAGCAGCAACAGCGGGCTTCGCGGCCGGTGGAGGTGTGGAAGGAGATCAAGCACAATGACGCTAGAGAAAAGCTGTGACCACGTCATCCCTGGCGGCCGCCGGCCCAATCGCCTCTGCCCGCCCGCCGCTACTGACGAGCGGGCGTGCGAGTGCGGGGATGGCGTCGCCGTTATCGACCGCTGCCGGACGTATCCTTGCTGCTCCCTCGCCTCCAGCCCGCGAGCCCGTGAGCCCGCTTCCACACTGCCTTCTCGGTAATAATAATAACAACAATTATGCCACCATTCTTCAACCTCAGCCACCCCGGCGCACCAAACACCTCGTGCGTTACTCCAGTGCGCCTCGTTCCATCACTTGGCAGCAGCGCCGTCGCCTCGAATTTCTACAGCAATCCTCTCGAGCGGCCGGCGGAACTAACGGCCGAGGGGAAAGCGCGCATCCACCATGATCTGCGAGGGATCGTCGCCCCGCCCGATGCGCTCCACCTCCGCAGCGGAGCCCAAGTCGCACATCACCTCATCTCGCATATCAACCTCGATATCTCTCTTCCTGCCACAAGCCTGGTACGAACCAACCCCTGAGCGGAAGCCGCTCTTGGCCCGCCACTTGTGTCCCAACACCCGCCCACGACCACTCGTCCTTGCACCCTGTGTCCTCAACCGTCGCAAACGAAAGCTGGCCATTCCTCGCTGATGTGAAACGCTCCCTTTCTTGGCTGTTTTCAAGCTACGCAAACCGATGCACATACCACCTCGCCAAGCATACCAAGACTTCCGCCATGCCTTGCCGCACCCTCTCTGATGGCCAGAGAAGTAGCCGTTTCACTAAGCCAAAATGCCTTCGTTTGGCGGGATCCATCCCGCCGGCCCTGCCAAGATCCGCCTGCTCCCGCCCATGCATCTAGGCATCTGTGGCCAAGATGCAAGCAAGATCTCTCTGCACGACCATGCACAACCGGCGCATACTCAGTGTGCAGTGTGCCATTGTCTGGTTGGTCTGCACAGCTCCACCACTCATGAATGAGCGCCAGCTTCGTTTGGTCCCCTCTGTATTCGACCTTTGCTCCGTGCTTTGGTTTGGATCCATCTTTCGATTCAAATCTCCCGTTGGGATATTCCATACTCAACCTTCTAAAAGCGCACTTCATGCCGCTTTCCAACACCTCCTTCCGTCACTTGCCCCGCCTTGTCAAGCGGAAGGAGCCACAGACGTAGTTGGAGCTATATCAAGCCCTCCTATTTGCTCTAGTAGTGTCCCATGTACCCGTGACTACGATACCAGTGCTTGCTTACTTCTGGCAACAAAGCTGGGAGGCGTCCCCATCTCCGATCACCGTAGGATTGTGCTGCCGTCAAATTTGCTTCATCGCCCCTCTGGCGCTATCAATACGCGAGTGACACCAGTCCTCGCATCAACTTGAGCACTCTCCATACTATAACAGCCGGTAACTATTGAACAGTCGGCGATGCCTGCAGAGCTCACGAGCTTTCATACGCCTTGTTCCTCTTCTTCTTCGTCATCTCGTCTCTCCTTGTCCCCGATATTGCAACACTGCCACCGAACCTGCTTCTCTCACAAACCTCTCCGTTCGACCCATCCACTCTGCAGAAGCTCTCGCCTTTCCCCATCGGTCGGTCAGCCGACTAGAGCAACACATCAATGTTACACCCGCCACACCCACCTACCCACCACACACCCCGCATGTACGTACGTATGACGCTCATCAGACAGAAATACCCAGAAGAAGCCAAACGAGTATAGTAGCGACTCCCCTCTCCTCCTTTTCTATGCGCGACTCCATATTCGGGGAGAGCATGCGATCTGTGCGAATGGTGACACCCGAGCCCCGGGAGATTGTGTTGACAGTTTATCATATATATATTGCGGGTTTACTCTGGAAATTTACACCACCAAACATCATAGGAGATGTCCCGGGAAACGCCATGGTCTATTATTACTGTTTTCTCTGTCTGTCTGACAATCGAAATCACTAATTCGCCCTTTCGCTGGCAGTTGTTGGCGGTTCTGTTTTACCCAGCTATATTCTTACTGCCTGCCGTGCTTCAGCACTAGAGGATCATGATTATGGATGCACATAACTCCCAGCAATGGTGCCCCGCAGCAGTCGACTTTAGAGAGAGATGCAGTCGTCCTGTCCATCATTGTCCCGTGACTTTGTATGACTGGAGAAGTACGTACTACGAACGACCAGCGAAAACCACAGTGGAATTATGGCTGTTTCAATGGATTGAGCTGTCACTATCCGAAACTCATTTGTTCTCGTGAATAGAGCATTGAGCAAATTGAGAGGCCTTTACATAGAAATCAAAAGTCGGAAACGAGGCGTTGGTGCTTTCTTTACGGAAACGCATCATAGATCGTTTCACAGGTCACAAGAACAGTTTCGAACCGTGTCACCTGTTCCTAACATCTGCAATCTCCCGCTCTGAAGCGTGTGTGAGCTGGTAAGTGGTAGATAAAATCGGAACGCCACAGCTTGCAAAGTCGGCGTTCCTATATTATGCCATTCCCGTACGCGTGCATAGTATCATCGCAGAAGGCGAACTGTTCAATGGGAATTCCTGTCTACTCACCAACAAAATGGCCATGTCATACTTGCGGTGAGCGTCTGACGAAAAGCCCCGGTCTCCGATAGACTTCAGGCATCGGTACTGGACGGCATGAATGATGGCGAGCGGCATCTTTAATGACGCGGATCCACATCGTCTTTTAGATTTGCTGAGGCCCCGAAGAAGTCCATAGAGACGAATGACAAGCATGTTCTACCACTATCCGAGTACCCCTTTTCTCCATATAGATTTCAAATTAAGCTACCTCGCTTTGCGTATGTCGGAGCATGTATCAAAATAGTAGAGAGAAACTGTGCGGAGACGGGAGCCAGGCCGTTCTAGTGGCTAGAGGCCTCATACTGGCTTCACTCAGCCGTCCAGTGACACGTATGTACATATGTTTGCTGCATCTCCGCACGCAGCATAAACCGCGCTACCCTTTTGCATCATGTGCTCGCATATGCCGAGTTTACTTCACGTACCACCCCACTTCGAGGCGGGACTTCATTTCTGTTGAGATAGTGCAATATTTTGATAATTCACACCATTACCATGGAAAAGGCAGCTCGCTACACTCCTGCTTGGACATCCCAAGCAAAACCCAAGTGTGTCCAAAGCCTTGTTTCTTAAATGATGAGCTGCGACATGGGCGAGCCGTACACGCCTTCACGAAGAAAGGAATTTGCTGAGGGTCATCTGAACTTTTACGTACTTCATTCTCAAGCGCAGGCTTTGGGAAAAAATCCCGGTTCTGGTAGACATGGGAAAGGGGGCAAAGGCAGGAAGTAATGGCGATGTTGAAGGACTTTCATGATGCCCTCAGGCTCGTACGTGATTCCACGAAGAGGCTCAGAGGCGCACCCTGTGGGATGTAGTCCGTATGGTTTTATCCAGGTCATTACCGCAGAACGATCCAGTCACAGCAGCTCTTGCTCTTTGCCATCAGGATGGTCAAGTCTTCTGCTTTTTTCCGCCATCGGAAGTGCACCGTGGCGCGCAGGTGACATGTGTAGAGTTGTACAGCCTTTGACTATATTCAAAGGAAAGCATTCGGCTGCCTTCATACTACTAAAAGCAATGGAGCACACTACGTCCAGTCTATTCCTGGACCTTCTGACATCCGCACTGTGTGTGTTCAAGACTGTGTGTGTTCAAGCTTCCTGTGTTGAAATATCATTTCACTTAGCTTGCCACAACGAAAGTGGAGAACCCCTTCATCATTGTCGTTATTCAATGTCGAAAATTACGAAAAAGAGGAAACGCATACCATCTTCAGAGATGGACGATGATGTTCTTTAGCGCAAAGTGCTTCATCCGAAATCTGACGAGGTCACGAGTTTAGCGGTCTTCGGGATTGCAGCAATGAAAAATCCCACGACACAAAAGAACAGTACCTAATCACCGTCCCGAGCCGTCGTGAGGACCTAGTTCAAACCTAACCATTGATAGGTTTAACGGAAGCGGCCGTTCTGTAAGACGCACATTGACTAGAGAGATGTCAACCCAGCCTTTTTAACAGCTCGCCTCAAGTCCCAACCCCGTGCCACTTCCAAGCCGCCCGCGATGCTCACATCCTTCACATCCTTCCTGTCAGCTACACCTTGGATCGTCTCACTTCCAAAGATCCCTCTAGCGCAGCTTTTGAATCAACACCCACGCCCAAGAGCCACGTAGCACACGACACATCCCGCCTCTATGTGTAAAATATGACACCATTCCGGCTGTGTGAAATGTCGAGGGGTCACTCCCATCAGCCTGTTCTTCCCAGAGCAACAAAACACACGTAATGTCGATGCATATACTTAGATAATCAAGCACTGACTACCCGTTCGTCCAGTTGCTCGAGTGAATCTTCGAGAGCAGAAGCTTGGATTCGGTAGCCCGCGAATCGTTTCTTCGAAACAATGAAGAGCAGCAAAACCCAATGATGATGACCTTCAGCAACAAAGCTCGATGAGGAGACGCGTCCAATAACAGGACGAGCAACATGGTGCTTGACAGCTTGGACTGCGACATATCCTCGCGGGGCACCGGGAGCACACACAGGAAGTGAATTTTGGGTGTCAAAACTATGCTAGATAATACCTGCACACTTGCCAAAGCAGTGAGGAGGTAAGGAGATCCACGGCCCGTCCTTTATTTTATAAGGTAGCGGTGGTAGTAGGGGGGCGTGGTGCTGGACCAAGCAAGCATATCATGTGAGCCTCCGTCCAACTATCCACGACACTAGCAGCGTCCACGGGCGAAACTAGTCACCACACACCACACACCACACACCACACCAACACACGCAAAGGTCAAATCCTCATGCTTCCCATCCATCTCGTATTCTCCAACCCTTCGATCGTAACGTGACACACACGAGCCTAACCATATCACACATACACATCACGAAACCCCGGGAATAACACACTTTCTTTCAGGAAAATCCAGCACGAGCATTCTTCTCCTTCCTTCGGATCATCAGAAACCTATGAGAGACACACGCTTACCGCCTCGACCTTCCCTTAACAGGAAGAATAATCCGAAGGCCACTACTGCCAAGGACCCACCTCCGATCATTCCATCGATCGAGCCTCTTCGCTGCCAAACACACACACACACACACACACACACACACACACACTCACTCACTCACACGTCGAGACAACTAACAATTTTTTTCCCGGGTATCAACTCACCCACACACCCACACACCCACCCACCCACCCCCACCACAAATCATGTCCGTCTCAAGAACCGAAAAAAACAAAACAAACAAACAACTCAATACCCCTGCCACTGGCCGGCACCACCACCGCCCCCGCCGCCGCCCCCATCCCCCGCCCCCTCCCACTGCACATCGACATCCTGCCCCTGGCCGGGCGCAACCGCCGACTGCGGCTCACCCATCCAAGCGCCCTGCCCCATACCCATGCCCATCCCCATCCCCATCCCGCCATGCTGCTGCTGCTGCTGGTGCTGCTGCTGCATCTGCCCACCGTCATCCAACGGGCCGCCACCACCACCGACCGACCACCCCATCTTCTCCAGCTCCCTCCTAAAAAAGTCTTGCTCGCGATCGAGCACGCCCCGCTCGGCACCGAGGCGCTCGGGCCAACGCTTGAGGTTGAACCAATGCGTGAGGGCGCGCAAGGCCTGCTCGAGGGGGACGCTCTCGTCGACGTCGGCGTCGACGTCGGAGCCGGCGAGCCAGTCGTCGCGCAGCTCGGGGCGGCAGTGGAGGTAGACGGCGGTGATGACGCGCATGTTGCTCTGGCGCCACTTGCGGCCGCAGTAGGGCACCTGGTTCTTGAAGAGCTTGAGCGTGTAGAGCCGCAGCTGGGGCTGCGGGATCTTGAGCGATTTGCGGAGGTATTGCGAGGATTTGTACTGCACGAGCATGAGGTTGCGGTGGGCTTTTTCTTTGCAGACCTTTTGCATGATGCGCAGGAGGTTGATGTTGGAGAAGAAGTTGCGCCAGGAGAAGGTGGTGATGGGCTCGAGGGGGAGTTGGTTGAGCGGCATGCCGAGCTCGTCGACTTCGGGGAGGCCCGGGGTGGCGTTGGATGGGTTGTTGGGGTTGTTGGGGGATGATGAGGACGGGCCGTCGTTGCCGGCGGCGGCGGAATCGTCGGCGAGGTCTTGGTGTTCGTCGGCGAGGAGGTCGTCGGAGCGGCGCCGCTTGATGGAGGGAGGAGGCGCGGCTTCGTCGGGCGAGTCGTCCGCTTCTGCGGGCGGTGCGTCGGTGGTGAGGCCCGGGTCCTTGGCGCCTTCGCGGGAGTGTGTGTAGCAGAAGGTGAAGAAACTCAAGTCTTCCCTGTCACATCTGTAGTTGATGACCTTCTCGATCTCCTGCAGCTGGAGCAGCTTGAGAGTCAGGGGGATGTAGTTGGAATCGACCAATAATTGCGTCAGGTACTCCATCTTCAACACGTGAGACAGCTTGAACCATTTCAGGAGTAGGATGAGGATTCCCGATGCAGCTTTGTCCTGAATCTCCTCCATTCTCATTCTGTCCAGGTCCTCAAGAGGGATGTTTGAAATGTCGGGCAATGTCCCGTTGAGGCCACCATCTGATTTGTTTGCTGGGTTGCTGCCTTGGTTATCCTGGAAGCCTCCACCGGACATGGCGTTGGGGCTGCTGTTCTGCAAAGCAAGCGTCGCCAGATGAGAGAGGAAGGTCCTGAGGAGGACAATGACTAATGATTGCAAGTGCGGAAGAACGGTTGCCTTCTTCCAGGTTAGTGACAGTCGATCAAGGATGAGCAGAGGTTACCCACATAAAACTTCTCAATCTGATCAAGTTTGGCAGCAACACGATCCTCGATCTTATCCTTTTTGAGCATGAGACCTTCAAGCTTACCGTTGAGGTCAAATGCATCGATATCGGTGTCGTCGGAGCCAGTCCATCCTCGTTCATACTTCATGAAGAGCACACGCTCCTCCCAGAGTTGTTTCATTGGCCTTGTGGCTCGCATTCGCTTGGCAAACAGCTCTGCAGCTTCGATGATAGAGGCAGGAATGTCGCTTCCCTCCCATTTGCGACCAACGAGAAGGTCTTGCAGATCAGTCGAGCCCTTACCACCGAGGTTGTTGCTAGATTCGTCCAAAGGTGGATACAGGAATGGAAAAAGCTGGTTGGTCTGGTAATTCTGTTTCTTACCGCCCTTGCCTCCAGGACCGGCGGGCGATGGAGGCGGTGAGGGCGCTGGAGTCGCAATGTGAACGGGTTGGTGCAGGATCGAAGTTCCACTACCCACACTGGAGATGCCAGGACCGAAGGAATTAGCTTCCGGGATGGTGCTGGGGTTTTTCTTCAGGGGCGGCAAGATGGAATTGTTCTCGGGCTCTAGCGGGAAGAGCGGTTGCGGCGGGTTGTATGCCGGGTACTTGGAACTGATTTCTTGGCGGAAAACGTGATAGTCAAGAGGAGATGCTGTAATTACAGGTTGACCGCGATTGTCTGCGGTCTCTTCCTTTGGATCGCGGAAAGTGGACTTGAGCTCCTCAACTTCTTTGAGGCCACCAAAGTTCACTAGCATGGCTTTCCAAGTTAAGAGAAGAATCTCCCTTCAGTCAGCGCGATGTACAGACAGATGCAAGGCTGAATCTTACCTTATGTAACGGGGGCCCAATTGAATCGTCCCATCGTAAACTCGTGATAATCTCAATCATGAACACAACGACATCCGGGTCTAAGTGAGCTGTAAGGGAGAGTTAGTAGACGCGCAGAAGACTTGTAGTCTGAAGGAGCTTACTAAGAGTATCATGAAGACGAGAGGGCCGCTGCTCAGTCCGGGCAATTTCGTAGAACATGTGCATGAGGGTGAGCGAGCACCACAGCTCTCTTCTGTCGGACTCTTTGTCCTCCTGAGGAGCGATCTCCTGCTCGACGACATCGGTTGCGCTTGGACAAAGTTAGTTGCAGGTGGAGGAAGAAGGCGGCCATCGACTCACAATTCGCGCAGACAGGCTGCACGGGCTACATCATAAATGGGATGGATGCCGTCACACTCATAAATCATCTGAACTCCATTGCGAATCCAGTCTATTTGCACCTCTGATTTGACGTAACTTGAAGGCTTGCCGGCAGCATTGGCCGGAGAAGACGGTTCCTGCTCTCCCTCGGCAGCAGACGCGCTTGGCTGTGTCTTTTCGAGACCAGAAGTCTCGTGCCAGCAGCCGAGGGCAATATACACCAAAGCTTCCAGGCTCCGCACCCGCATCTCCTTGTTGTCGGTCTGCGCCAGGCTGGAAACCAATTTACGCGTAAGCTGGTCTCGCAGCGCGGGGTCGGCCTTGATCCACTCCATCTCTCCCTGTTCGTAAGCGGCCAGGTTTGACAGCGTACCGTCCTCGAGGGCGACCCACTCCTCGACGAAGGACGACTGGGCCTTTAGCAGCATGGCCTGCTCCTCGACGCTATAGGAGAACCATTCTTCAACCTCGACCTCGAACGAAGCGGCATCCTCGTATTCGAAGGCGTACGGGGTGGGCTCGGCCTTGGGCATGTCGGTAACCAGCTTCTTGAGCTGCATGAGCGACAGGGAGTCTGTGGGCTGGTGGCCCGGGTCGAGGGGCGGCGCGGGGGGAGCGGGCGGCGGAAGGCGCTGCGGGGCGGGGGCAGACTTGTCGCGCTTGAGACCGGGCCGCTTGGGCAGGGGCACGCCATCGGCGGAAGACTGCGACTTGGTGCCATCGAGGTTCTGCTGTTCGGGCGCATCGGGCCCGGGCTGGACGACTGTCTCGTCGGCTTGCGGGTCTGTGGCCGGATCCGGAGGTAGGGCCATCATGTCGGCCTCGTCGACGCCGACAGGCACCAGGGGAGCAATGTCCTGGGCAGCCTCAGCTGGGTCGGCGACGGGAAGGTCGGCAGCGGACGGATCCATGGTGGTACGGCCGCGTATGTAGGGTCGCGTATGTACGGGCGGTTGTGGTGAGGGCGGTCGCGAGACAGCAAGCGCGCTGCTGGGGCGGGCTTAGGGCGGCATGTGGACGGGACGCGGCAATTGGCTGGGGGGTCGAGAGGCAGGGCGCGGGCTCGGTCGGGCGTGCCTCTGGGCACAGGTGTGGGAGATGTTTGTCGTGGTGGGTGCTGCTGTCCGACGTGGGACATCACCGAGCAGCAGCTCGAGCGCACGCACTGACGCCCGCCCGCTCGCTCGCTCGGCCAAATGACTCGCTTCAGTGCCTGCCCGCACCTTCGTCGACCGCACTCCCACGAACACCAACACCACCGCATCAGCATCGCCAAGCGCCCTACGTCGACGGCCGTGTTCGCAGCCCCGCCGCATGAACACGGCCTGCATCCTCGTCCGTCCCTGTGCCCCTCTCCCCTCGGGCCATGACTACCTGCTTGTCCAGCGCGCGCCTTGCTGACAGCGCATGAGTGGTGCAGAGCTCTGGCATGTGTTGCTCCTGAGGTGCTTGCTGGGCGGCGCCATTGGTGATACCGGTGACGGGGCGTCCACAGAGACGGCGACAGAGTACTCGGGCCTGTGGGTCGATGTCATGGTGCCCGGGATGCTGTCAGACAGCAAACAACGTTGCACCGCCCCGAATCCTTGGGCCCCAAGCTCGCCGGCGCCCGCCGCTCGGTCAGATCCCCTTGCGCTGATCGCAGGCGACTTTGGGCGTGGCTGATGGCGAGCGCGGTGGCTGTTGGATCCTGCGCCGGCGACAGCGCCCGCCGAACACGCCTGGGCTTGGCGCGCCAAAGCCGGCTGAGGCGCCTGTGGTTTTCGTGCCGGACATGCGTGCAGAAGCATGGATGCTCCGAATCGGCCAAGCGTTCGGCATGATGCGCGCTCGTGCAGGAAGAGAAGGCCAAGTCCCAGATCGCTCGCTGCCACCGCCTGCTTACCCTGCTCAGCCTTGCCGGCGATCAGCACGCAGCTCATTTGTTGGTGGAGCTTAGCTAAGGCCCGCTCGACCCAGTTCGACCTCTCCTGCACCTGCTCACGGGATCGTCGACCATCTTCCCCGCGTGCTGCTCAGGCACATGGCTGCGTGGCGCGCCAGACGGCCGGCCCTGGCACGCCCTTGCCGTCACCCGCTCTGTTCACCAACACGCCGCATTCACCGCTTCCAGGCATCCAGGTCCATGTCGTGCCGTGGCGAAAATCCCCCAGCCTGCATCCCTGAGACAGCCAAGCATTGCAGCAACAGCAGCCGAGCCAATATGCTCTGCTCCCCAGTGGGGACCCGCCGCTCAAGTAAGACCCTGTTGGCCCTCGACCGCCGGGCCAAACAGCGTCCACGCCCGCTCGGCAGTGCTACGGAGGATGGAATGGGCGTCACTGCCACATGGCCCTGCCCTGGAGGAGGCGGCACTGTCCCTGGGCCTCTGGCCCGACGGCCGCCTGCCATGCAGACTCGTCCACCGCCCAAAGCACCGCGCCGAGCCCGCTTCCATCCCTAGGCCGGTGAAGAGGGTCACAATGCCTCGATTCCAATATGCTTGGCGTCCCATGATCTATTTTGGTGTTCAGTGGACTCTTGCACGCTGACCTCTGCAAGCTAGTAAGCGGCGCAACTGGATGCATTCTGCATGCACTCTCTCTTTGTCGACTACTTATAAGCTGCTGCCCCTCGTGCTCATGTTCCTCATTCCGCAGCCCCATCTCCCTTGCTCTCCGAGTATATATCGCTTCTCTTCTTGACGCGTAATTATTCCCCAGCTCCTCTCCGAACTGCACATATTTCAATCATGTTGTCTTCTCTGTCCGCCCTCGGTGCAGCCGCACTGCTGTCAATAGCCCCTTTTGTCAGCGGTCTCCCCGTGGAGAAGCGTGTTGTATCTGGTGCCGTCATATCCTCAAACTTCCCCGATCCCTCCATCATCAAAGTCGGCAGCACCTGGTACTCGTTCGCCACAAATAACGCCGACGGTGCTGGCAGCACCCACGTCCAGATCGCCAAATCATCCGACTTCAATTCCTGGACTTTATTGGGCAAGGATGCTCTTCCCAACTTGCCTGGCTGGGTCAACGCTGCAAACCCGGCCGTGTGGGCCCCCGATGTCATCCAGAATGTATGCACTCTTACCTCATCCCCGCACCCCAATTAGGAAATGCTGCTGACATGACCGCTCGTTTAGGACGCCGGAAAGTTCGTCATGTACTTTGCTGCCTCGCGCAACGGCCAATTCCACTGCACTGGCGTCGCAACCTCAGACACGATTGAGGGTCCTTACTCGGCCCAGTCTGACCCATGGGTCTGCCCGCTCGACCAAGGTGGCGCCATCGATGCTTCCGGCTTCCTCGACTCTGATGGCTCCCGCTACGTCACCTACAAGATTGATGTGAGTTCCCCATGATCTAGGTTACATTCAGCCTCAATTGCTGGCCTCTCCAATCAAGACACAGGCTGACCTGGCTCGTGTCACAGGGAAACGCCCTCGGCAACGGTGGCACTTGTGGCAACACCGTGGCTCCAATCCACTCGACGCCCATCATGCAGCAAAAGGTGGGCAGCAACGGCATCGACAAGATTGGCAGCCCCTATCAAGTGCTCGACCGCAGCGACGCGGACGGCCCGCTCGTCGAGGCTCCCAGCATCGCCAAGCTTCCCGATGGCCGGTATGTCATGTTCTTCAGCTCGAACTGCTTCTATTCGATCAACTACGACGTGACGTACGCCATCGCAGACAGTAAGCCTCAGCCCCATGATGCCCGTAGCTGTCCATCGCCATCTTGTGCCACCTGTGAGTCCACTGTGACCTGGACCAGTGGCATTGTGATGGCGTGGACCACCAAGTCCTGTGTGCTAACGCGTGATGGCAACAGAGGTTTCTGGCCCGTACACCAAATACGGCCCGCTTTTCGTCTCGCAGGGAACGCATGGCTTCTGGTCGCCCGGCGGCGCCAGCATTGCCGGCGACGCCAAGCACCTCGTTTTCCACTCGTACAACCCCGGCGGTTCCTCGACCCGCTCCATGTACACGGCGACGCTGACCTGGAGCGGCAACTTCGCGAACGCCGAGGCCTAAAGGAGTGACGGGCACCGACAGGGCGGAGAGCATGAGACGCAGTCACGAATTTCCTTTCTCGGCAGTTTTTTGGAATTCCCCACGTTCTTGGTCAGATGACCCCGAAGGTACCGTAGTAGCGCATAACGCGCTGTGGTATTCTTCTTTTTTTTTTTTTCTTCATTCTTCGATCCGGCGCGATGTCTCGCATATCTCGGCCTATTACCGCACTTCGGCCCCAAGGAATGACCGTCGAGAAAAACCCCCCCGCTCTTCTTTCCCTGACCGACTGGGAGGGATACATGACCATTCGAAGCGGGGTCAGGGTCTGGGCGTCTTACCGCTTCGGGACACGCAGGCGGGGAACGGTCCTTTTCCGCGAACGTCGTGCATACGCCTGCAATCCTTCCGCTGCCGCAGCGGTGGCTGACCACTGTCGCTACTGATCCTACTGGTGGTGGTGCCTCGTGCAGGGTGGTAGTACGGCCTGTAGGGCCTGACGGCAGGTAGCAGCGCTGACGAAGTGACGACATCACGCGTTCTTTCTTCTCTTCTCCTCCCTACCTTTTCGCCCTCTACTTTTTCAGCCCTTTTTTTTTTCTTCACATGAGCGAGGAGCATAGTCGGTTCCTCGCTTCCACGCGCATGGAGTCGGAGAAGGTTGCATCGTTTCGGGGGCGGGTTTTGATGATCGGTAGTTGGGCCGGTGAGGATCATCTCTTGGCATTATACCTTTTCTTCATTCTTATCCGGACGTCTCGCGTTGGTCGGCATATTCGAAGGGTTTCTGGACCTTTTTCTCGAGCGGCATGGCGATGCTGATACCCCCTTATTCTTTTACTTCTTCGTTTTATTTTTGTTACTTATTTTTTTTTTTACTTCTGCACGACCGCGGTACTTGCGAAAGATACCCGACGACAGTCGCTTGAACATCTGTAGCTGTTTGTAGTTTTGCATCCGGCTGATCCTCTTAAGCCTTGGTTTTCCGAGGCTTTGAAGGATGGGTGCGGAGGATTAATGCATACCGAACCGATTCCTTCTTACATCCATGTCCATTTTTTGCCATTGCTTAGTGAGAATGTGTAACTGCCGCGACGGCGGATCGTCGTCGGGAATGCCTCAACGGGGGCGAGGGCTGCAGCAGAAAGCAAAGAGCAAGTGGAGGCGAGAGATTTGTCTACTGAGATAAACTCAGACCCGAGCGAAAGGATTAACTACGACACATCCCTTCCCCCCACACACACTGATCGGCGGCGCGTGCGCACACGAGAGCGAGAGGAGTTTCTTCACACCTGTCTCTCAAAATCTTTCTTTCCCTTGTCGCCGAAGACTGGCAACACAAGTAATAACGGAGAAGGAAAACTAATAGTACGACATCATCGTACTTCTGCCCTGTTTTTTTTGTTTGATTTTCTCAGCCGTCCTGCCGTGCGATGCTACCTAACTAACCGACCCCCCCTGCAACAAATGATCTGTCGCCACGAGAGTAGCCACACTCACGAAAGGAAGGGAGGGGCGCGGAGGAAGAGAGAGAGAGAGAGGATCATCTACAACCGCACTACCCAAAACGGGTTAACAAGCCGAGACGCAAAACCAAACAACAACGACAACAACAACAACAATCTTCCAGTGGCGCGAGAAACAAAGATGATGATGGAAGGGCGCGGTTGATTTTTTTTTTTTCACCCGCGTGATGCGCTTGAATATATTACAACAATGAAACCATCATTCGAGCCCCCCCGCCTCAGTACAGCATCATCAGCCCAACCACGAGCCCAAGAAGGTAGCAGAATAAATTAAAAAGGATCCATCCCAGAGCAACGAAAGTCAATCATATGATTAGCTGGTGCGCGGGGGGCAGGGGAGGGGCATCACTGACGTCGGGCCATAAAGTGCCCAGCCGGTCGGTCGGTCGGTCGGTCGGTCGGTCACTCGGTCGATGGTGCGCGCGGACATTATTGCGCAATGATACCGACAAGGCCGAAGGCGTTTAAAGCTTGAAAGAAAAAAAAAAGCGACGGACGAAAAGTGCACGGATGTGATGGGCGGGACCGGGTGCCGGCGCGGTGCGGTGCGGGGGGGAGGAGAAAAGTGACGGACTTGTTTAAGCTACTATATGCTTATTTCTCGTTAGTTTTCGCCCCACTAGCCCCCGTGGCGCACGTGTCCGGCCGGGTTTGGAGGGGGCGGGTTGTTGTTGTTGTTGTTGTTTGCGCGCCTGATGATGGGTGTACGTGCGTGTGTGTTTTGTGCGTTTTTCGCCGGGGGTGTGGAGATGGGGAGTGGAAGAAGCAAAGAGCAGGTACCTAGGTAGCTGCGCGGCCGGGAAGCGGGACTGGCGGTGCATGATACGGTCGCTTTGGAGGTATGACGTCTTGTTTGCTTCTTCTTTCTCGTGCCACCACACTGCTCGGCGGTATATATTACTTGTCTCATTGGCTGCCTCCTTATCCCCTCCAGTGAACTGTCGCCACCGAGCCCACGCGCGCGCGCGACGGCGGAAAAAAGAAGGTAGCGCCTGTCTGCCTGGAGCATGCATCACGCTCCTCGCGCCGCCCGTGGCCATGAAGCAAGCAAACCGTCATGCCGGTGCCCGGTGTCGGCGCCGAAGAAGCTGTTGTCTAGAACACAAGCCCTGCCCAAACTTCGCTCCTTCCTCGCGCGCGGCAGAACCTCGCCAGTATACCTAGTGACCGACCATCCATCCGGTCAACAACCCAGATAGAAAAAGAGAGAGAGCGAGAGAAACCGTAGAAGCTCACGTGCGCCATCTACTGCGCCACGGCGTGCTACCCTGCCGGTACCCTAGAAGCGTCAAAGTAGTACTACGGACAAGCGTCGCGCCGCTTGGCGTACTGCTGCTGCTTCCTCCCCCCACGGGGTCTCGGCCGCGGGCTAACCAAGTCGCGGCGGGGTCACCGGTCAGATGTGGTTCCTTCCGGACACTACACTACTACTTTCCACAACTACCGCCACTCTACCAAGTACGTCCTACCACTGCTAAACAGTCCTTAATTGTTAGCCTCCCGCTAATACATACCCCACACACACGGCGCACAGCGCACGTGCGTGCGTGATCTTTCGTTACCCTCGTGATCCCGACGACGTCTCTTGCGCGGACCGATGCCGAGCATTAACGGCGTCGGAGTGGGACCGTGGGTGCGGCGGGCGCGCGCGTGGGTCAGGGTCACTCGAGAAACGCCACAGGGTCTCGTCTCGATCGACATGGCGTTTGCGTTACTTTTTCTTCTTCTTCTTTTTTTTCTCTCTCTTTATTCCCGGCGCTCCGTCGCTCCGTCGCTCCGTCGTATGTATACATACGTTGGTCATTCATCGGCTGTGAGACCCTCGTATAGTTGTGGCCGGTGATGCGTACGTAGCACTGGTCGGCGTTCTTCACTTTTTTTTTTCTTTCTTTCCCCTTTGATCTGGCTGGGGGCGTGTCATGCTTTCTTTCTTTCGAGCGGGTGACTGGACCGAGTGGGCTTGGATGATGCTTCTGGCGGTTTGGTATTGTTTCTGCCGTTGGATGGCCGGGGCCACGCGGGTTCTGTACTCTGTTCTCGAAGCGGTGGCCATCAATCAGCTTTTGTCACTGCCTCCTCCGTGTGGGTGCTCCGAGATGTTGATGAGTGTGCCTGCTGGCACGCTCTTTTTCAAGCTGCTGGCCACCTGCATGAGGTTGTGTGCTTGTGTTCAGTCTAGGTATAAGAAGTGGCAATAGCATCCTATGTTCTACGCCTGTCTGTTGTTCCAAGGACCAACCCACTGCATGTGTCAAGGACATGAAGGCTGAAGAGAGCTCCAATGCGGGAGACTGGAATAGCCAAAGGGTGGTCGTGATAGGGGACGTCGGGCGACACATCCTCGCTACGCAAAAGGAAAGGCACGCAGTTGACACTTGACACAAGATCGTGATAACACTGGTCATCTATCACATCATCAATCAAGCCATGGACTTCCTCGATGCATGAGAGGGGAGAAGTGGAATGTTACAGTAGGCCATATTCTCACTGAAGCGGACAGAAGACTCTTGACATTGAGGTGCATTCGAGCATATCCCGTCCAGGGTGAAAGCTCTCGGCCCGACAGTGAGCGATTGTCCATTTCCTACCCTCTCCGCACAGCTGCCAGTTCACCGGCTTCGCCTGTTCGTTTCTCAGAGGAATGAACCAATGTGCTTCTCACGACCTGCATGTCCAATCCATTCAATATTTCCATGCGAGCCCCAGAAAGAGGGAGGGAGGCAGGATGAACGACATCGCCGGCGTAAGTTCGAACACTCTATCTACACAAGCATCAACACTTGGTGGCACTACATCCATTCTACGGGTACGGCTTGGTACTTGCCAGTGTCGGTTGGGGACAATATACGATCTGAGGCGACCACATATGAACTGAACGAACGCTGCGAAAGACGAATTCCCGAAATTCAAGAGCCATCGAACGATGCCCCTGACATGTTCATAACAATAGTCCGAGTGATTCAGTTAGACAAATGTATAATTTTGGTCATGGAGCCAGTGGAATGTAAGCGTACATATGCAAGCAGCATTGACGTGACTACACTCAAGCACTTGCATCAAAGCCCTATATCACCAACCTTTCGAAACTCGGACAAAATGCAGCCGTGACGGCAGCGGAAGAAGACATCAGAGACTCTGAGTATGCAGCAGATCAACACATATCTCCTCCACCACGAAGAAAACCCGCATCTCGATCGATGAACCAACCCGTTTGATTCCACGGTTCCGAAAGAGGAGATCCACGTGCCAACACCCACCCTCTCTTCCCCGGCTCGAAACGGTGGAGAGTCATGTACCTATTAGAACGAACGATAGCACAACCACGACGCCAGCGGCACGTGCTTGACAAAACCGCCCTCTTGTATTGTACATACGTACAAATAGATGGAAGGACGGGCCGCAGGGAAAGCCGGATGTATTGTCATCGTACCCGACCGCGAGTTCCCCACTACACGTCCTACAAGCATGGAGCATCGGGACCCGGCGTCTCAAAAAGCGAGTTGCGCGTGAAGCGTCTGTCTCAGCGAGATCGAACGAACCCCCCGAGGCAAAAGCCCCGACTTGTTGGGGACATCACTTCCTGTCGCTCCGGGCAACAATTCGTCTCCGGATTGGCATATACGCGTCGGCGGAGGACCTGAACTCGAGAAGCGGAGGAGTTGGCGGTGTCGCGTGGGGATCAGTCCGCGGTATCGGCGGGATACATCGCGGTGTGGTGCAAACGTACTCGAACCGAGGGTGTCAAGGTCAGCGAGCGCAGATAGAACGGCGGCGTAGGTGGATGCTGTCTTGTCATGCGGGAGGGAGCACTATGCAGACAGATACCCGCCATGGCATCTCATGAGCAGCTGACTGTGAAAAAAAGTAATGATGAAAGCATCCCGGCAGTTTAGGCAGCAAGATGATGAACATCTCACGGGAACACAGAGGTACATGCGTATAATGCGAGAACAGGGCGCCTTGCGCTCAAGTAATTCGCGCGTTTGCGAGGGTGAGGAAGACCGAATGGAAGCCGGGCCTCCGAGGCGGATAGGCGCGCGGATTACAGGAGCAGCGGGGGTGTGCCACTGGTGGAGAGAGATGTGCTCCGATGACAGAGATGCCGCCTGATTTGCCTACATGCCTTTAGAGTGTTATAGCCTAGGATTCGCGTGGGCTGTTCGTGTAGCAATGGATTATTAATGGCAGAAACTCGGTTTCAGCGATCGCAGTAAAGGTGCGTTGTCCATTGAGACACGATCAACCGTGCAGGCCGATCATTTCGGGACTGATGTACTCGATAAAGGGGCGAGACCGGTGCATGGAGAATGCTGGTGGTCTCGTGGACGGAAAGCGTCACATGATGGCGGCTTCCGCGGGCATACTTAAGACACGGTGGAGCGCAGGGAAGAGAAAGGGATGTGGCCTAGATTACCTTTGTAACATGGCATTGGTTGGATGTGCCGGAGATGTCTCGGATACACGTCTCCAGCTGCAGAGACTGAGTCGCGAGATCAAAGATTGGCGGAACACGTACCGGCACTCCGCTGTGGCTGCTTGGACCTGCGATGTCAGTACAGTGGATATCCTTCCGAGAAAGAAAAAGAAAACAGTGCAAGCATCGCACGATAATGGTCGGGACATGGGTTGAGCGTAGCCAAAACATGAACTGCTAAAGCTGTGGAATAGAAGTACATGAGAGAAGTCTAAGACTCAGGCAGCCACCCAACGTCCCTGATGGATTAGCTAGGAAACTCTCATGTATGTGCAAAAGAAGCTCAGTCCCTCCGCCGCCAGTAACGCCGAAGACGAGTCCTCCAAACCATGAAACCCGAGTAGCATTCCAGAAATACACCTTGAAGAAAAGCCACATGATACTTTACAGTATCGTGACTGGAAGTTGTGCAGAAATATAGCCAGGGTCCCTACATGGGGACCGCTAAAGCAAGAGAATCCAGGAAAACAGTCATGAGAATGTCGTTCATGCCGTCGTTCCGACTGTGAGAGACCTGCAACGCCGCTTCAAGAGAGGGCGGCCATACACAAGCATCTCTTCTGGTCGAGTGCCGTCTATCTTCGTGGGAAACGTATACAGCAATCGTCTCAACTGTCGCCATTCTGATCTGCCTTGTCGCCCTGGTTCTGGTATTCCTCCGGTACGATGCCGGCATTCTGGCAGGCCTTCTTCCATACTTCGGCCTCCGCCCAGGCCCGTTGGCATTCTCCCTTAAACTTGTCACAGCTGGCGCTGAGCTCTGTGATGGCCTGCTCCGTCAGAAGTTTCTCCAGCGTCCACTTCTCAATGTTCTGAGATTCGTTCTCCTTGAGCTGTGTAATGAACTGTACGGCGCGTTGTAGGATGGATCCCTTGTTCTTCTCACAACCGGGGACAATCTTGGCTAGTTCGTTGATACCTTCGTTAATCGTCTCACGACGGCGTCTCTCCACTGTGACGTTTTTAGTGAAAACGGTTATCATGACAGCATCTTCGCCAACTAACCTTCTTTGTGGTTGTCTCTACGAATTTTGTGCCACTCCTCGGACCCAACTGCTGGCTTCTGGTTGACCTGGGATGGTGGGGAGTCGTTTCCGCCCTGGCTGTTCGACTTGTTCAGAGCATCCAGGCCATAGTCAGACATTCCGTGGGATGCCTGGTGCATGTTGTGATCGCCCATGCTAAAGGAATTGCCGAGAGCTCTGTCGCCCTCTCCGCCGGCTCCCTGGTTCTGGAAGGACAGCTCAGTCGCCTGTGGGACCGTCATCTGGAAATGATGAGACAGCGCCGCGGCAGCTGTGTCGCTAGCGTTGGTGGGATTTCCACTGCCGTTCTGGTGCAGGCCGTGGTCGTTCGTGTGTTGAGCCAGTTGGCTAAAATCCAGGTCAGTGTTGGTGTGTTGGTGCATATCGTCCTCGCCCGTTCCAGCGGCGTGGTGGCCCGTGAGGAAAGCAGTGCCGGACTGATCGTTCACCCCAGTGCTGTTTGCTGAGCCTGGTGATACGCGCTGGAAGGACGAGTTGCGTGTGGTATCGGTTGGGGCAGGCCTGCCGCTGGCAGGACCCTGATCGAGTGAGCTACGCTTCCTCTTGTTGTTCTGCATTGAAGTCGTATCCGGGACCTCAGACTTGGCCTCGGCTTCCGGGTAGGTGGCGACGTCGGTCATGCTGGTATTGTGATGCTCACTCGTCCGATAGTTTCCGGGCTCGCGTTGGTATCTATTGTCAGCGGAGCTACTGGCAGTAGTTCCAAGCGCAGGCTGCACGATGTTGTGTCGTACGCAAAGAGCGGCGGTAGTTATAAGCTGATGCTGCGGCGGTGGCACAGGGCCTGTATGCGGGCAGCCGACACGGGACAGCTGGATTGGCTATCGAGGCTGGATCCTGTGCCGCGTGTTCTTGCCTCAGATAAGGCGTTCCTGGAGGCACAGGCGCTTGTTCGCAGACGTAAAGGTCGGAGGCACAGGGAAGTTGGAGGCTGAGTTATAGGCAAGGGCCCTGCGGCGTGGGGTGACGGCTGTTCGACTGTGGGGCTCCGCAAGAGGAATCAAGCGAGAGCACAGAGCTCGAAGGGGAAGAAAGGCACTGTTAGAGGCCTGGTGATTGTTGAATGTCAGCACGTGTCCTACAGCAAAGAGTCCAGTACGACGTCGAGGCAGACGGGCGTCCGATTGGCAGGTAGCTGGATTGCTTCCTCGCTGTGGGACCAAGCTGTCAATTGCTTGAATCGCAACCGTGCCATGGCCCCTGCCACTCACACGGCAGGCCCGTCACCGCCAGCGGCATCATCTTGCAGCGCCGCGCGAGGGCAGCGGCGGGCGGGGCGGGCAGACGCGACATGGTGGTTGCGAGGAATGCGCGTGGAGCTTCGCGGACGCGGGCAGCAACATGGCTGGGATGGCGGGGCGGGTGACGAGCACAGAGCCGCAGGCGACGACGGCTGCGGCATGCGGCGGGCTCGGAGGGCGCGACCAGGGAAGCTCCAAGGCCGTGTCGAGAAGATGGAGACTTACCCGCTTTGATGTTTCGTGAGGCCGCTGACTAACGGCAGCCTTGGTCCGTCCAGAGAGAGACCGTGATCGCAACGCGTCGAGACGGCGACGGGCGGCGACACCGGGGCTGGGGGTGCGAGAGGCGGACGGCGAGTGTGCGAGGAGCCTGCTGGCGCGAGACCGAAATGCTGCGTCTTCAACGCGCAGCAGTCGGATGGTAGTCGATGGTATGCTGCGGATAGGAAATTGTCACCTGACAATGTTGATGAGAAAGCGCGTGATCTGGGGCGACGGCGCTTTAACTGAAAGGCAGGCTGCGGTGGGCGGTAGGACGAGCTAAGAGTGGCCGGGGCGGGGCGCGGTGCGCACCCTTGCAACTTGGGAGCTGGTGCCGGGGCGTATCGGCGCCGGGCGGGTCGGGAACGCGCCTGCTACGCAAGCATCAGGACGGCGGAACGAGCGCGACAGATATCTGCGGCGATGCACCTGCCAGTTATGCAGCCCCAGGCGTGCCTCGCAGCGCCGGCCGAGAGGGCCCAGAGGCCAGATCCAGCGGCCAGATGGCTCACGCGGGCGCTGGCTGAGCTGCGTCGCGCCTGCCGCATGGCCGAGGCAAAGCAAGAGCGCCGCCCGCGCCAACCACCCGCTTGGACCGCGTCGCGATGCATTATTGTCTGCCCGCCTCAGCATTGCGAGCCCCCCAGCGACAAAGATTACTGCTCTCATCTGCACTGCAAATGCACAGGTGGTCTCGTGGCCGCGTCGCTACCGCCATTCCTCGCCCTGCCCTGCTGGATACCACGTCCGTGTTCCACTTCGCACCACACCTGCGTGCCGTTCTGGGACTAGCTGCATCCAGGCCCTTCACGTGCCGCTTTCGCGCGTCGCGATTGTCGCCCGCCCCGGCCTGTGACTGGCGGGACCCATGGCTGCTCTCCTCAGCGAACGACACCGGGGCCAGCCACAGAAGCTGCCGTCCATGGTGCTCGCCAGGTTTCATTCCCAAAGCACTCCCGCCTCCCTCGCCCCGACCGTCGCAGCGCCCCCACACCTGCAGCTGTGCCGCGTCTGGGGCGCGAGCGCGCGGAAAAACGATTCCCCTACACTCTGCCCTCCAACGTCTGACTGCGATGAAACCCCCGCGCTGATGCTTTATCTCCAAACGCGAGGTGGTGTCTGCAAATCCGCGCGAGATGCACGTGTCGCCCAGCCAAGACTCCTGGTAGCCGCTTCCCCCGGGCCATGCTGCCACCCGGCTTCGTGATGCGGCCCGACCTGCCCTGCACAGGCAGCCTGCATTGAATCCCGTCACAAGGTCTCCCTGGTGTTCTCGTATATTACGTCCGGGACTCGAATGAGTCGAGATGCTCCTAGCATGGGGCATATCCGCCGCCGTGCTAACACCCAATGTGGCTCGGGGTGCTGCTGCGATTGCTTCCCTTTCCCCATCCATCCAAGCAGGAATGTGGTTGATCATCGCTATCCACCAATCACAGCTCCGAGCTTGAGATCCGAGCCGCAGTCACAGTGGGTTGCAGAAGCGGCCTTGTCCCGCGGATGATGCTGCAATCTCCGCATGGAAGGTCGAAGCAAATCTTTGGATGGGGACGTAGGGTTGAAAACTACAAAAGCGTCTAGATGCCGATACCAACCACCTACAAAGGCCAAATCGGTGCGATCTCTCTCATTGAAACAGGTTGAGACGGGGGAAATTGTTTGGCAACTCACTACGCAATTAGCATTGAGCAACGGACGCCTATCAATGACCACCTACGTCCACCTTTCGCCACCCCAGCTGGGCCCCCGACTGGAGCCACAGTCTCACGCGTGTCCGGTAAGTGGGTCTGTCAGGAAAGGTGTCACCTGCGGCTATATCACGTTGTCGGGTCCATGAGAGCAGGGCGCTCCGGAGAAAATAGGAAGGTGTTCACCAGTTGGAGAACTCGTACTGTGTGGATGTTTTGCGATAGCCCTCTCCCGTTGGTCTTTAACAAATGCACGGCCTTGTCATATGCCACTATCCGAGTAACGCCTGCATATCATCGCAGCACTGCGAGGGCCTACAGTGGGGCACTTGAGACTCTTATCATGGATGTAGATGTACATGAAATGGCACTAACAATGATGTCTAGACAACAGCTTCTACTCCAATGTGTTGATTCGATGAAGGGACGATCGCAGCTTCAAGGTTGTAGGTAGGTAGTTTCTCCGGCTGGCCGTCGCTGCCGAGTTAGGAAGCGACAACCCTCCATCGGCGCACCCAGCGTCGAGCCTTGCTCGGTAAGTGCGCGCTAAAAATCTCATTTTCATTTCCCATCCTTTCTCTCCACGGTACACCTCATTGGACGCTATTACTGCTTCCGTATGGCGACGAACATGCGCTTCATCCATCGCCTCTTGGCGCTCCTCATCGCCCTAGCCCACGCATTCTCATCCGCAGCGGAAGAGACCTTCACGCCGCAGGCCGCAGCCCCTTCTCTCCTTCGTGGTGTCAACCTCGGTGGCTGGCTCGTTCTTGAGCCGTTTCTCACACCGGAGCTATTTAAAGGCACGAGCGCGGTCGACCAGTGGACTTTTGATAGCCAAGCCGGATCCGAGGAAGCTCTGCGTCAGCACTGGGAGACATACTGCACCGAGAACGATATCAAGAAACTCGCTTCCTACGGAGTCAACGCGTGCGTTCCAACGTCTCCCTACCTTGTTCGGCAGACTGTCTACACTGATTGGCTCAAAGGCTTCGCATTGGTATCGGCTTCTGGGCGTACGACAATGCGGGTACTCCATACAAATCCGGTGCTGACACTTATCTGGACAAGGCGATTCAGTGGGCAAAGAACGCTGGACTCGTGGTGGTGGTTGAGCTTCATGGAGCTCCTGGATCCCAGAATGGAGATGCTAGTTCAGGACACGTGGGATCGGTCGAGGTATGCCGGGCGACAGTTCTTTGATCGAAAAAGAAATTGACGTTCGCTCGCAGTGGCAGACCAGCAATGGAAACCTTGAGCGTACAACTAAAGTCTTGACGACCATAGCACAGAAGTACGCGACGAAAGGACTTGCGAATACAGTGGTCGCCATAGAACTCGTCAACGAACCAACAAACAACCCGCCGAACACCCTTACGATTACAAAGAACTGGACGGAGACGGCTTACGATGCTGTACGCAATGCAGCAGGCAACAAGGACTTACGCATTGCCATGCATGATCAGTGGACTACTCCCAAGTCTTGGCTTGACGTGCATAAAGTGTTGAATGGCAAAAATCCCAACTCTTTCGTGCTGGACGTCCACCAGTACCAGATCTTCACCAACGAGGATAGGAGTCTCGATCAACCCGGTCATATCCAGAAGGTTTGCACGTTTGCGTCGGAGCAGCTTGCCTTTGCAAAAAGCAACGGCCTGCCTATTCATATCGGGGAGTTCAGTGGGAACACGTTCATCTGCGTTAATCCGGATGGAACCACGTTTGCTGATGCTGCAGGGACAGGAAAGGCCTGCAAAGTCGACGGCTGTCAGTGTGAAACCGACGGAGGCATAAAGGTAGATGAGTGGAGCGAAGCGCTCACACAGCAGGTCCGTCGCTACGTCGAGGCTCAGCTGTACATGTATGAGAAGTATGCTGGAGGATGGTTCTTTTGGAACTTCAAGGGCCCTGGTTCTTGGGGTTTCATTGAGGGCGTTGAGAAGGTAGGAGACCCTTGTCGAACTGCATGTCTGGGACCGTACTGACTTGATCAAGGGCTTCATCCCTCATCCGGTCACCGACAGACGCTATCCAAACCCATGCCCCTAGAAACGGTTACGACGTGATGATAATGTCTGCTTGAGGCGTGAATTGCATGAAACAATTCGCAGAGGCGGGGGTTTAGATGAGCAGGTCCAGATCGTGACAAAGAGATGAATGTACTTAGCAATGGTTAACTAGTTCTCGACAAAGCCATTCCTTGAGATCGTCCGCGAATTCAGCGTGGAGCTCATATAGCTAAAGGTCATAAGAAGTATTAAACCATGCGATGCTGCACTGTGCACCAGAAACGTAATGTATGTAGTGCTAAGCGCCCTCATCCCCTGTCCACGGTGCGGGCTCCATAGCTCCACAATATGCGGTTTCCTCGGCGGTCCGCGTCCGAGGTCAAAGCGGCGGTCCGGTGAGGGGAAATGCTCGATGGGGACTGTGCATATGTGTCCTTCGGTTCAGACGTTGACGCGCTTACCTAGATGGCGACCGGCTCCAGACGCACACGCATGTATGCTGTCACCCGTCCAACGATACAAATTCGAAAGTGAAAATGAACCAGTGAGGGCTGGCTGGAGACGCGGGGCAGAATCCGCCTCGCTACCCTAGCGGGACGCTGCGCACAGATCCGCCATGACGGTGGGCTTGGCACCGTGCGCACAGATAATCCGATGTTTTGGCGCCGCGCTCTCTCGGGCACATTGGAGCTTTGCTTCCACCTGCACACCTAGGGCCTTGTTGAGCTTCTGACTGTCCCCCCGTTCACAACCTTCGTCTGCCTGCTTGGCGCAAACTTCGTCACTCTCCTCCACCCCTCACACCGCAACCCTCATCGCACACAGCTTTGCACCACTATGTCTACGGGCAACATCTCGAACCCGCCGAGCTCGGCTCCGGCCGAGTCGAAGAGCGCGCGCAAGAAGAAGGCCAAGGCTGAGGCTGCCGCCGCCGCCGCTGCTGCCGCAGCTTCGCCCGCTACTCCCACCCAGGATGACCAGAACCCCATCGAGGGCGGTGTCAACGGCACCGAGGATGGAGAGCATCCCTACATCAAAGACCTCCAGAAGTACGTGAACGATAGACAGCTCTAGCTCACACCACCCAATGACCTTCGTGTGTACTAACTGAATCACTACAGGAGGCTTCGCAGCGTCAACAAGAAGCTTGTAAGTACCCTCACGCGATGACTTGCCACCGCGCAACACCGGCTCAGTCAGGCTGACTTGGAACCTTCCAGAACGCCATGGAAAAGGTCAACTCCGTGATGAAGGAGAACCCCGATGTTTCCCTCGATGACCTCGTCGCTTCCAAGAAGATCAACACCGATCAGAAGGCCCAGGCGCTGAAGAAGCCTTCACTCGAGGCCGAGCGTGAGCAGCTGAACGAGCAGCTCATCAACTTCAAGAAGGTTCAAGAGGAGCTCGCAGCTAGGCTGACTCGCCAGAAGGAAGCGGTTGAGGCCGCACACGCGAAGGAGCTGAAGGAGCTGGAGGACAAGATCAGGGCCGAGGAGAAGGCTGAAGCCGACAAGACTGTGAAGCAGCGTCTGCTCATCTTTTCTCAGTTCCTGCGCTCGGCTGCTGCCAGGCGCCAGCAGGGAGACGAGGAAACTGAGCTTTCCAAGGCTTTCGAGGGTGCCCTGCTGCTCGTCTACGGCGGCAATCTCGAGGCTGTCACAGCTGCCGAGAAGCTGATCTCCGGTTCCGAGGAGCACGTCATTTCGACTGAGGGTCTCGAGCTCACCGTGTCCTGTAAGTGAACTAGTGATCGGAGACCGGGATTGGCCTAATTTTACCGCAGACGCCCAGGTCAAGCAAGCTTCCATTGAGGATGCTCCCTTCGCCGCCGAGGAAGCCTGGGTTGATGAGGTCAACCAGGCCGCCCAAGCCCCTCAGGACGACAAGCCTCCTTCGTACAACGAAGCCACCATTGGCACTGACCCGACCGTCGCCCATGCCGGCCTGACCGAGCTTGACGCCAATGTCACTTCGACGAATGGCGAGCCCGCTGCTGAGACCTCCACCGTTCCTACTGCCAACGTGGATGATACTGCTGCCAACGCTGCTGGTGACAGGTGGGACACCAAGGCTCCTGGATCTGAGGATCCTCTGGCCGAGAGTTTCGAAATGGTTCCTCGCGATCCGGCTGAGACCGAGGCCGTTCATGAGCCGGCTCCTGCTGCTAGCACTCAAAGCTGGGCTGAGGACACGCCTGCTCCTGCGGCTCCTGTTGCTGCCCCTCAGGCCACTGCTGAACCTGCTCCGGCTACCAATGGTGATGGTTTCCAGGAAGTTCCTTCTTCCCGCGGTGGCCGCGGCCGCGGAAACTACCAGGGCGAGCGTCGGGGTGGATACCGTGGCCGTGGTGGCCCTCGCGGTGAGGGCCGTGGCCGTGGTGGTTACCGTGGTGATCGCGGTGATGGATACCGTGGTCGTGGCGGATACCGTGGCGGCCGTGGCCGCGACAACCATCAGGCTCAGCCTTCGCAGTAAATTCCCAAATACTGCCACCTTACACCCACCCAAATGGGCAAGAATTATGGATCCTTGATGGGTTCAGCGGCTAACGAGACAATGTGGGAGATTCTGGCACGCTGTTTAGCCGGCGATGCCTCTTCCTGATGGTTTGATGTAGCGATTCGTTTCTGGGCATTTGAGACAATCTTAGCCATGGAGTGCTTTATTTCCTGAGCGAGTTTGTCTCTTCTCGAGTAAGAAAAGAACAGTAAAAAGGAAAGGGTCTCAAAAGACGAAAGAGGACAAAAGGAAATCATTCACTATCGGTGTCATCATGAGGAGAACAACTTGCATAGCATTGGAGCCTGGTAAAATCGGTGCAAAAAATTTCTTTTGGGCCTAGGGAATGAATGGGTGGGGGTGTTGAGTTTCCTACGTCTTCTCCAAAGGGATCTCTCTGTGGTCATGGGTTGATTTCTATTTTTCTTGCACAAGAACACGAACGCGGCGGATTCTCGATGATTGGGCTTTCTCGCTGTTATACTTTGCTTTTCTCTTGACTCGGATGATTGGGTTCCCTTCAACTTCTATCCTTCACTCGAGGAATGAGACTCTTGCTTGTTGATTAAATCATGAAATCTTTTTTTTTTTTTTGCTTCTGGTTCTACCGGACGTTTCTGAGTGAACGTCCCTTCTTTGACTTCCTGGCTGTTGTTCTATATCTTCCCGTCCTGTACTTGCTTGTTTCCTCCCTCATTCCCACTTGGAGCTGCCGAATGACAGAAGCCCCTTCGGCGAGAAAATGTTGCCTTGTGATGGGAGGAAGTTTGGCAACACGAAAAGAGAAGGGGGAGGGGGAAAAAAAGGCCTGAATGACCCTTGGTCTTACGCAGAAATTACGCTTGCCCCGTTGATATTGCGATTCTTCCTTTCCTTCCTTGAGATTGAATGCATGACCGGTATACCAGATTTGCTGCTTTTTCTCGGTGGATGGCACTTTCTCTTACTTTCCCCTGTCTTTTTTTTTTGATCAAAAACTCTCTTGTCTGCATGGTATGTGGTGTGTCATGTAGAAGAAAGAATGGAATGGAGAATTGGTTGTGATCAAGAGGAACTATTCAGTGTGTTGGAAGAGCGCGAAGACCGGAGAGCAATGTGACGGGTGAATGAACCTGCAAGTACATACATATTGATAGAGAGGGTACATCAGCCGAGGATCGTCTGGGTTGCGCTGTGGTGAGTGACCATGAGCGGCGCGCGGGGGGCTTCTTATTGAGACGTCTATTGAGAGCGACTCCCCCCGCGCGCGCATCAGTCCCGTCGGGATATGGTTTACGCTTGGGTGGGCGACCACGGCCGGGCGCGCGGGGGGAATCTTATTGACGGGTTATTAAGCTCAGTCGGCCCCCGCGCGCCGGTGACTGGGACAAGCGTGTGGACTGGTAGATGATAAGCTGTCGTCCCGGCGCGCGGGGGGAGTCTTATTGACGGCTATTAACTAAGCACAGTCACACCCTGTGCGCCGCTGGTTTTTGGCGAATATGTGGATTGACACCTGGCAGGTGGTTGGCCCGGTGGCGGGGCTTTTCCATGAGGAGTGATTGGTTGCGAACGAAATTACGGCGACCTTTTCTATGTGGGCAGTTGAAAGTAGATAGGTTCATATGACCTTCTTCATAAGTAGTTAATGCAGATAGCAAGACATGGGTGCGAGTATTCAAGCTGTTCAAGTGCATTTAGATATAGTATTCCACTCACCTGCCCAGGCCAAACTCACATCAGTGACCTTCTCAAGTCAAGTCAAAGCCGACCAAACAAAACATTTAATGCCCTGCCACATCCAGTGTCATGACCACCGGCACCTCTGGATCTCCGTCTGCGCATCCCGAGAAGGAAAAGGGAGAGGTTGTGCTCGCAGGCAGCAGGCCGGGGGCTGGGGTTAAGCGAGACACGCCATACCCAATATGGCAGCACAACAGGACGAGGTCTTCCATTTGCTGAGGTCGCATGTCTGCGTCGCCCACAGGCAATCCGTACCATTAAGAGCGACTGGGCGAGGGCTGTCTTCTACACAACATGTTCAGAGACCGTCTGACCGGATAAACCGACTTCGCTTGCCGCCGGCGTAGTGAAGTGGCTGGAAACGCAACCAATAAGAGCAATGCCTCAAAAGCAGCATGTGCCGTCTCGAGGTTATTTTGCCTCGAGGGGCATTTTGGGATGGTCAAAAACGTAGTTGTGCCCTTCAGAGGGACGTAGCATCGCAGCAGACTCCACGGTGCTTCAGTGACGTACGGCGCAAAGCTGCCAAGACCGATGAGCAAAATTCGGCGCGTTATCGCCGGTTGCACCTGCAAAGCGGAGCTCATCGCAACTTGCTAAGCCGCGGCATGAATCGCGTACCTACTGCTGTCAGAGGCATTGTGCGGATGTGCGAATCAGAGGTCTGGGCTGAGGTCGTGCCCATCTGTGAAGTCCAACGGACGCGTTTGCACGAGCCCAACGGCTTAAGGGGTAACGAGGAACTGTTCCGTAGCGAGCTTGAGCGCGGTTGAGCCTCATCAGCGCGTGGACAAACCATCAGACCGTCGGTGGCAGCCACTCCGCGCCAGTGATGGGGGTGCTGCCGGTCGTCGCGTGGAAGTGACGAGTCAGCGAGAGAGCTCCACGGCAGAACCTGAGCGGGCAGGCAGGTCGGAGGTTACACGCGGAGATAATTTGACGCGGGAGATCTACTCGGTTCGGGGTCGGTCGTGTCAGCAACCCGGGCGGCGGAGGGGCAATGAGGGGTTGAAGGTTTCGTGTCCGGGCCGCTCACGGACCAGCGGCCGGAGGAGGCACACAAGGCAGATGGGCACAAAGAGCCGCCCTCCCACTCACACGTGGGGCCTCGACCGCGGTAGGGCTGAGGGGAGATCTCCCGCCGTCACGCCTTGGCTCCCGTCCGGGGCCCCGGAGTTGCGGGCGGCGCGACGCTGCACCATGCAGGAACCGCGCCTCGTATCTGGCTGACGTGATTCGTGATCTTCTCGAGGTTTCCGTGTCGCGCACCATGAGGGTTGCTGGACGAGGGCTCTGCAATGTAGACGTTCGTGATGACGTGGGCGACGCCATGCTCCTACAGCTGCCCGCTTCTCTCTCTCCTTGGTGTTGGCGGCGTGGAGGGCCCTGCTGGGGCAAGGCGGCCTGTGCGATGTCAGTCCATCAAAGTGCCCGTCTCCGCGGCGGCCGGGCAATTTCGAGATGCAAATCTTGGAGGCGTTTCCATGTCCATCCCCGCAATGATCGCCCACCCCTGCCCATGCCACCAAACGTTTAACATGTCATTGTCGCGCTTGCAGAAATGAGCAGGACACGTTTGGCAGCGCGCACATGACGTAGGAATGAGAAGTTTGCCGGCGCCGCAAGCAAGGGCGGCGACGCACAGCAAAGCGCGCATTTGTTTGCGGCATAGCGCGAGGTGCGGCAGCGCGTCGCGCCCCCGGATGATTTGGTGATGCAATGGGTGCGGGCAGGCGGTGGTACGCAACTCACACCACCCCGTTTCTCGGTTGGGCTTAGCGGATCTTGGCCCAGCCGATGCACCTCGCTGGTCTCCGCTCCTTGAGCCGGTCTTTTCGACCCTCTCCCAGGAACACCGCACGCGACCGCGCCCGCCGACACCCGCACGACCACCGCTCCCTCCATGCGCCGCCCGTAGCTGTGCTGTCCCGGCACCGGCTGCGTTGCTGCACCCCCGAAATCCTCTTCGCCGCTCCTCGTTCCAGCCGAGCTCGGCCTGTTCGCCTGCTCGCTCGCTACCCCGATACTGCACCTCGTTGTCGCGCCCCAAACACGCCCGCGCCCACCCACCCACCGCCCGCACCCCCGCCGCCTCTTTGTGGCGCCCCGCTGCCGCCATGGAGGACCTACCCGTTCCCGACGCGCCGAATGCGCCCGCCGACGGCGCCGCGAAACAGTCGGATCAGAAAGCCGCCTTGACGCCGCCCACAAGCGAGGACATGGACCGAGGCAAGCGGGAAGGCTCGTCGTCCGAGCTGTCCGAGCTCGAGCTCGATGACGAAGAAGACATTGGTGAAATCGAGCCCGACCACTACTGGGGCGATGGGAACATCCCCGTCTTCAAGCCGGTACGTTGTTGCGCACCGTTCCCCCTCTCGCCGGCGTCGGCGTCGGCCCCCACTGCGGCTGCGCGGTTCAATGCTTGCTGCAGCCGCGCGTGGTCGGTGCTCGAGTAGTGTTGTGGGCTGTGTGTGGCTGATCTGTTGTTGCAGACCATGGACCAATTCCGGAGCTTTAAGAAGTTCATCGATAAGATTGATAAGTACGGCATGAAGTCGGGAATCGCCAAGGTCATCCCGCCCAAGGAATGGTAAGCACCTATGCCTTGTGCAACATCCACACGATCCATAACGGCTTCTGACCGATGACAACAGGCGCGATTCGCTTCCGAACCTCGACGAGGCTGTCAAGAAAATTAAAGTCAAAAACCCCATCACGCAGGACTTCTCCGGTTCTCGCGGCCAATACACCCAGCAAAATGTTGAAAAGCAAAGGTCGTATAACCTGCCCGAGTGGAAGGCTTTAACCAACCAATGGGAACACCGTCCTCCCGCAAAGCGTGGCGAACGTCGTGGTGATGTACCTGCACCCACCAGGACAAGAACTACGCGCAACCGGGAAGCCAGTGTGGCTACACCACCCACTGAACCCGGCGTTAAGAGAACACGGGGAAGGCCTCGGAAAAACCCTCCGAAAGAAGTGAAGAAGGAGGTGGAGGAAGACTCGTCCGTGATCGAGTCTGTCGAGCACGTCGAGACACAACCCCCGACTCCTTCATCGCCACCGGACGAACCGACTGCAGTTAACAAGAAGGTCGCTAATCTGCAGAAGGCAGCTGGCGATGGGTCTCCGAAGCCAAGAGGTCGCCAACCAAAGTCAATATCGTCACGCCGAAAGCACAATAGGGGAGAGACAACCGACGATGTTGACGAGCAAGCGTTCAGCAATTTCGATTATCACCTCGAAGGCGTTGAGGAGTTCACGCCCGAACGATGCGCTGAGCTGGAGCAAAACTACTGGAAAACAATTAATTTCGGTCAGCCCATGTACGGGGCCGACATGCCTGGTTCGCTCTTCGATGAATCCACAACCAGCTGGAACGTCGCAAAACTGGAGAATCTGCTTGATGTCCTTGGCACCAAGGTTCCTGGAGTCAACACTGCATACCTCTACCTCGGAATGTGGAAGGCGACATTCGCATGGCACTTGGAAGATGTCGATCTCTACTCCATCAATTATATCCACTTCGGAGCTCCCAAACAATGGTACAGTATCTCGCAAGAGGATGCCCGGAAGTTTGAAAATGCCATGAAAAGTAAGTAGTATATCTTTTTCATCTTCTAAGTTCCCAAGACTGATTATATCTAGGCGTCTGGCCAAACGATGCGAAGAATTGCAGCCAATTTTTGCGACACAAAACATATCTCATCTCACCTCAGCGTCTTGAGAGTGAGTTCGGGATTAAGGTCAACAAGCTCGTTCACTATGAGGGTGAGTTTGTATTGACCTATCCTTATGGATACCACTCGGGATACAACATTGGGTATAACTGCGCGGAATCCGTCAATTTCGCTACCGAGGCGTGGCTTGAGTACGGCAGAATTGCAAAGAAATGCGACTGCGAGAGCGACAGCGTTTGGGTTGACGTCGCGGAAATCGAGCGTAAACTTCGTGGCGAGCCGACCCCCGAGTACATCGAAGAGACCGACGAAGATGACGACGAAGACGATACCGAGGAAGCTGGACATGACCTTCCTAGCCCGCCTTCTAGCATCAAGGGCAAGCCAAAGGGACCTTCCAGGAAGAGGAAGAGGGAGACCGGAGACAAGGCCACCGAAGGAAAGGTCAAGCGCGTCAAGCTTCGCCTCAGAGTACCAAAGGAAGAGCCTTGTGTCCTCTGCCCGAACGATGTGGCATTCGATGTCCTACTCCCGACCGACAACGGCCAGAAGGCTCATCGTCTCTGTGCCTTATACACTCCGGAAACGTACATCATCGAGGAAAATGGCGTAGAGCGTGTCTGCAATGTGGCCAACATCGACAAAGCTCGCCTGGAACTCAAGTGCAACTACTGCCGTTCGAAACGCGGTGCCTGCTTCCAGTGTGCCGCGAAGAAATGCATTCGGGCCTTCCACGCCACCTGCGCAGCAGCAGCTGGTGTGCAGATCGACGAAGGCCCTGTGCCGACATTCGATGAGGATGGCACCGAGTACTACTGTGACGGTTTCGACCTTCGGTGCCGCTTCCATCGTGCTAAGCGGCCCAAGTACACTGATGTCGACTCGCTAGAGAACAACAAGCTCATCCCCGATTTTGCCAAGTCTCTTGAGCCGAAGCAAGTTGTTCAGGCGCAGTACATTGGCGGTGAAATCTTCGCTGGTATTGTCGTCGAGAACAGACCCGAAGAATTAAGCGTCATCATCGACGTCCTGCCAACAAGTTTCGAGAGAGTTGAGGTTGAGTGGAAATACCTTTTGGTGCTCGACCCCGCACAGTCACTTCGCCCGAAGCCTTCTCCGAACGCGAAACCCCTTCCGGAGCATCTTAACCAGGCCTCGTCTACACTCAATGCAAAGAACCAGAAAGATGGGCCACCGGAGATGGACACACCTTTCTGTGATGCAAATGCCGAGTTCAGATGGGCAGAATTCCACACTGCCACTGCGGCAGAAGTCAAGAACCCTTTGCAGGCCAAGGTCGGCATTACTATGCCTCATCAGCTCTGGCACTATCTTGGGAAGACATCGACGGAAGCGAAGGCTCAGTACACCGAGGATCTGAGGAAGCAGCAGCACAACCCGAAGAGTAATTTCTTGGACACTGTGAAGCCGCCCCCACGATCTATGCAAACTTACCAGTCTCGAGCTATCGGACCTGCCTATTCCTCTGGGGTGAACATCAACGCTCTAAACGGGGCCATGGCTGCGCAGAGACAGTCGATGCAGCCTCATTATGGACAGAAGCCGTACGAGTACAAGCCGCGGTCAGGTCCAGCTTACACTGCTCAGCACACACCCTACCCTCTTTACTCGTACAATAGCCAGCCGGTCGGCAGGAACGGGCCCTTCTCACATTCTCCACTTCCTCCCTATCCTTATCCTCCCAACTCCTACCAAGATGCTCGAAAGCCGTCTGCTGGTTCTGCACACTCGCCGCCATCACAAACTCCTCCCCATCCACAAAACTACGTGCCTCCGTACCACCAAACGACGGCTCATTCGCCATATTCGAGCATTTACGGCGATCCACGGACGGGCCAACCGGTACACTACCCCAACTACCATCGCCCTTCGTTTTCCACCCCCTACCAGCATCCAATGCGTCCAGCAGCTGCATCTCCTCCGGCTGCTGGCTCGGCTGTTTCAGCGACTTCTATGTCACCGACTGCACATAGCAGTTCGCCGGCAGTTCGCTCAGATTCGATTTCATCGACAAGCTCAAAGTCACCCGACCTGGAGTACTTACAATTCTTGCAGAGATTTCCCTATCTGCTCAACTCCTACCTCCGTAGACCTAAGGTATACGAGTCGCCGTACCCTGGGACGAGTGGGTTCTCTGAAGCGTACAACCCTCGCCGCATCACAGCCGAGAAGCAGGCGCAGCGTCAAGCTCCAGCGCACGCGCAGGCCCAGTGGGGCTATCCGGGTGCCAATGGGTACGGCGGCAGCCAGCAGCCCTATGGCTATCAGCAGCCGTATGCACCCGGCCACCCACATAGTCACCCACCGGGTCACCCACCTGCACAGAACACGCGCCCAGGACTGATGTTCCAAAGCGCGCAGGACTTCCGAGCTGATGTAAACAGAACCCAAGCGTCGCAGATGAGCAATGTGCCCAAGTTCGAAATGTTAATCCAGCAGCTTTCACAGGCGAACGAGACTGCCGCACGGCGCTTCGCCGCTCGAACCCAGGCTCATCAGGCTCAACAGCAGCAAGAGCCGCAACCCCCTCCATCCCAACCCCAAGTCCAATATCACCACCCACCACCGACAACGTTGGCGGCGGCGGCGGCGGCGGCGGCGGCGGTAGCAGCAGCGTCTCATCATCATCAAGCGGGTCAACAAGAGCGGCAAGTCGCATCACCACCACCCATCGCCACACCTCTCGGCGGCTACACCGGGCCTTCTAACACCCGCGGCTATAGACCTGGCTACGGCTACGACAGCGGCGCCTTCGGCCCCGACACCCAGACCAAGGTGCCCTCGCCCTTCAACAAGGCCGTCACCCCGCACAACCACCACGACGCTCCCGCTCCCGCTCCCGCGCCCACCACACCACCTGCCATCGCCCCTCCGGCGACGCCGGCGCGGCAGCAGTCGAAAACGACAACGACAGCGACAACCACCACCGCTACCGCTACTACTACTGCTACTGGAGAAGAAGGTGGCGGCAGCGGCGATGCTGCGGAATCCGCGATCCGCTCGCCGCAGCGCCCCGCCGTCAGTCCGCTGAGCGACGCGGGCGATGCAGACGTCGCCGCCATCGTAAGGATGGCGGACTCGACGATGATGATGTCTCCTTTACCGCCACCGGCGACCAATGCGGCGGCGACGGCAGCATCGGCGGCGGCGGCGGCGGCTGTTTCGCTACCGATGGAGGCAGCGGCAGTAGCAGCACCACCACCACCACCACCGGCGGCTGCGTCATCGGGTGGTGGTGATAATGGGAGTGGGAGTGGGAAGGAGACGTGGCGGTATACTTGATTGAGTGGGCGTTATGTGGGAATTTTTTTTTTTCCGTTTTTCGTTTCGGATGCGTCGTTCGTCTGTCGTAAGTTAGGGGAGGGGGAGGGGGAGGGGGAAGTCAGTTTCCTCCTCCTCCATACAATACAGGAACGGCGTAGCTGGGCAGGGCGTGGCGTGGCATGGCATGGCAATTAGCAAGCAATCGAGGGGAAACCTATGGCGGCGGCGGCGGCGGCGGCGGCGGAGTTGTTTGTTTCTTTTTTCTCTTTTTCTTCTTCCTTTTCTTTTTTCCTTTACGTATGTATGTGTGTGTATGCGTATCATTTTTCATCCTAATTCGTCTTTTTGATGAGAGAAATAAAGAATGGGATGGGGATTGGGAAGGAAGCTTGCAAGGATGAAACATCATTATACCATCGGCGTTTGCTTTTCTCTTTTCTCGATCTTGCTTTCACGCTTGCTGGCGGCATTACCATCATCATATGTTTCACTGCTTTTTTTTTTTTTTTTTTTTTGCGTTTGGCTTGTGAAGGGCAGTAGTAAAACAAAACAAAAGGTTTCAAGCCGATGATAGTCAAGCTCGGGCTGGATGGCTGGCGGGCGTCATGAATGAATCAACGGATGTATGGATATGGATATGGGTATGGATTTGGGGGCGTGTGTGAATGAGTACGTGGGCGGATGGGTCGGGAAAGAAAGAAACGTCGCTGTTGGCAGGCGGGAGCATCATCAAGGGAGGGGTTGTTTAGTGCTTTTCTATTCGGGGTAGACTCAGTACATAATTCACCCCCGTTCACCACCTCCTCATAGTTCAGTTCTGTGCCCCGGCACTTTTTTTCACACCTGCATCATTCTCTCAATATGTATGGATGTGACATATGTAGCTACAGTTGTTCATCTTCAGACGAATAGACACAGGGCCAAAGGCGGGCGTTCTGGCTCAGAGCCGGGAAGCTTCGGATAGCAGTCACCACCGGGAGGAGAGACAATGGGCTGTGTAGCTATGCAACGTGGCTGAGCCATGTATCGTACGTGCAATGGAGCGGAAGTCGGGATGGTTGTCTTAGATGACGACGATTGAGGTGGGCTCAAAGCGGAGAAAAGGAAGCTTATTGGCTCGAATGTCCAGCATTCGCGCAAGATCTGCGGTTGCCTAGGCGGGTAGTCGGAAGTTGCTGCGGGACCACGCAACGTGCTCTAAGCCTTCCAAGTGGAAGCGCGTTGTCATGACTGAATTGCTGTCGTTGTCCGCCTTCACGAGGTGGTCGTCGCCGGTGTGATTTTTCTGGCTAATGAGCGGAGAAAAAGCGGCGGGCTTGAGAGATGATGAGCAGCGGTTTCGTTTGATTTGCTGGATGGTAATCTTAGTGCGGTGGGCTTGCACGGGCGTGTGCGCTCGCTCTTGTTCTACGGTCCTGCGGTGTAGGATACGCCGTTCGCTCTCTGGTGCACGGCGAGTGGTGACGAGTGTTGTTGAAAGAGAGCCACTAGAGCCGAGTAGCGGGGAACGGACTGCGCCTCCATCGTCACCGCGAGCGAGTCACGAGGCCTCCTTCTGTCCATTCCCGGCGCGCGACGGGGACGGGGGGCGTGCGTGATGGGGAATTGTCAGAAGAGATTGGCGTGCAGTGACTTTTTCATATGTCGCGCGAAGTCAGACCACAGAGGTCGCGATGCTGCGGGAGCTGGACCTAGACCCTCTCTCTGGCTGCGTCCGGCTAGGCTGCAGGCACAAGAATAGGCCGATGCACGTGTTACTCAGCCACAGGCTTCCGTCGGATGCACAAGCACGAGCAGTCAGTAAGGAAGGGAGCTCTCAGCTCTCAAACACGTGGTGAAGCACTGGGGAGCTCTGCTGGCCGCGCACGCCCCCCGCATTGACATGAACGACGCAGCAACCCATGCCGAAACACGTTTCACCCAGGGCCGGGCACCTGGCCCTGGGCATCAGCAGCCAATCGAGGCGGGCGTGGGCCAGCCATCCGATGCCGGGCGCGGAGGGTGCAGAGGAAAGCACGGGAGGGCGATCGTTTGGGTGGTGCGGGCGCTTGCAGGGCGCTTCCCTGTCGCGCCTTCCGGGCTGAGGAGGGCGAATCGTCGGCCACCAACGCGCGCGCCCTGCGACTCGAGCAGCTCTGCACAGCCCGGGGAGAAAGAACAGCCGTCGGTGTCGAGCCTCCAACGTTGCCAAAAGCGCCTGGTGGGGCCCACAGCGAACCGTGGATGCGCCAGCAGCTGAGGCTATAAGGCTGGGTGAAGCTACTTATAGCCCCCGGACCAAGCCCCGTCAGACAGATCAGGTACAGCCATCACCACCGGTCAAGCCCAGCGCACTCGTCGAAGCAAACCGACACCGACTGCGAGCCCTGCAGCGTCTCCTTGGCCGTTTGAGCAGCGCGACGAGCACGACGAGCACGCCGAGCACGACCTTCTCATCACCACGCCAGCTTTGGAAGCTCGACCACGGCGGCACTGCAATCTCTAAGCTTAGAAGGAAGGCTAGACTGGGGAGCGCCACGCACAGGACAGGATCCGCGGTTGACAGCGCACTGCTGCATTGGAGCAAAATCGCCGACCGCCCCCATCATCATTTAAGAGTCCCTGCATCTTGCCGCTCCCGCCTGGATTTTCTCAACCCGCCATCTCGCCTTGACGACACCACTGCCACCAGCCTCGGACGCCGCAAGAAAACAAGAAAACGAGGAATCCTGCCGTCGCCACACCACCTGCCAGCGTGACCGGCGGACCATTATCGATTGCATAAGCCGTGCGAAGCTTAGCACAAACGAGGCGCGGCGCCTTCCCCTCCTGCCCCGAAATCCGGTTTCGCGAGTGTGGCGGTATCCTGCGCACGACCCTGACGCACCTCGACGAGCCCTACATCTACTCTTTGTCCCCGTCCTCTTTCTTCCTTTCTTTCGACACCACGAGTCACGCCTGCGTCTGTCTCCTGTCTGATCCTTGCTCTTGATCTCCGCCCTGCCACATTTTCCGTCCCCACATTTCAGCCGTCACCATCACCTTGCAGCAGCAATGGCTTTCAACTTCACCTTGCCCCTGCGCATTGTGCAGGCCGTCTTCACCATCGTCGTGCTCGGACTGACCGCATATGGTACGTATCCTCCCGTCTTTTTTTCCCATTCCCCCTCTCTCACACAAACTCACCATGCTGACACCTCAACAGTCTGCGACTGGTGGACCACCCACTGGCACGCCAACTCGCCGACCGAGATCAACTACCTCATCTTCGTCGCCGTCTGGACCATCCTGGCCCTGGCCTACCTGATCGTCGCCCCCGCGCGCTTCCCCGCCGCCGCCCACAAGTTCGCCATGCTCGGCGTCGAGGCCCTCACCATGCTCTTCTGGTTCGCCGGCTTCATCGCCCTGGCCGTGTGGCTCGACGACCGCGTGTGCTTCGGCAGCGTGTGCGCCAGCGCAAAGGCCGCCACCGTCTTCGCCGCCTTCGAGTGGTTCGTCTTCGCCGCCACCACCGTGCTGGCCGCCTTGCACGTGTGGAAGACGCGCAACACGAACAACTCCGAGGCCGCGCCTGAGATGCAGATGAACGTCTAGGTCTGTCATCGTTTTCTCCCCCCCTTTTCCGAAAAGGGGGCAAAATGATTTGGTTGTGCAGCGCATCAAACGGGAGTCATGAGTTCTCTTTTTATGTCGATGATGTTTTTTTTTTCTCTTTTTGTTTATATATACCTACTCTCTGTACTTACGATACCCAATCGAGGGTTTGGTTTTCCCGGATCTCGCCGCTGTGGGGAGGGGAATGTGGATGGTGTGTGTGTGTGGGATTACGGCCCTTGTACTGTTTTGTTTGTCGTGGTTTTTTCTTGCAAAACTTGTGTGAATATCAGAATCTAAATTCGGATCATGTGGATCATTACCTTGTCTGCCCTGGTGCTGCTGCTGCTGCTGCTGCTGCTGCTGCTGCTGCTTGTGTGACAGATCTAGATCGCAATCCGATCAGCTCTTATGCATGATAGAGGAATGATAGTAAGTTAATATTTCTCGCAACTTGTTAAATCCAGATCCCTGAAAGCTCCTACAACGACGTGTGCTGCATCCTTGTACGGTCTTAACGAGCTTGAGGTCGGACAAATAGCAGGCGATATAGAACGTTTCGGCGACCTACTACCTCGTGATTGACTAGCATAAGCCACCGTCACCGAGCAATATGACGCCTTCACCATGCCTTTATATCTCTTCCAGCCTGCTTAACAGGGACCCTGATACCGCATTCTTTCTCTGACCACACATGATTGGAATAGCAGGTTCCTCACGGTTTTGTCACAGCTCTCATACTGCCCTCTTCTCCGTTGTGCTTGCGGCTTGCAGTTTCGGACATGGGGCCGAGCTCGACCGCGACCTCTCTGACATTCGGAACTTTCTCTGCATTCGATTGCTGAAGCGCAATAGCATCGAAAGCTGATGAAGTTCTCAGAAAAAGCCATTCTGGCAACCCCCACCACTGTCGCTCAATGCTGCGAGTCATCAAACACTTTACAGATAATCCATCAGCTTGGAGATCCTCCTACCTATGTCTGAAGAGAACGCCAGGACAGGCAAGCGCCCGCCTTTCATTATTCCACACGGATGATACGCCAACAAAGTGAGCTGATCGCAGTACTTGCTCGAGACGTTGTCAAAGAGTAGTCAACCGGCGGTGTGCACTATTCCAAGGGATTCCAATATTTATATGGGCAAAATACCGGCCTGATGCCGGCTCCCGTGCAACAGGAGCCCATCACTGCCAATGTCTCACTCCATGCGATTGGGCAAATGCACTCTGCACTTGCGAGCTACATCTGGATTTCAAGCGGCAACGACCCAAAATAACAAGAATGTGAGCCGGCGATTTCAATTTCACTGGACTGGCAGTGTTGAGTTCCGTAAATTCTGTATACTTATCAGGATGAAGTTTCTACGAGTACGATTGATTAAAACTGAACATATGGAGATCTTGCACCTATGCTCATAGTATTCCCTACCGTCGACCATCCCAATTTCCACCGCGTCGGCAGCTACCCGTGTCACCAACCAAGCTCAACCGTTCCCGTGTGACTAGCCTTCCCGCCCGCGCAGCCCGCGCGTCTGCGACATGCCTGCTACGTCAACAAGGCGAAACTAGCCGGTTTCAAGACCGTGTTCATGGCTGCGAGACCTCGCCTCCACTTGGAGACAGCGACTCTCCGAAGCCCGAGACCCCTCGTGGACCTTTTCTCTTCTCCCATCATTGCTCTCTGTTGAGTCTCATGTCGAAGGGGAAAGCAAGGCGTTTTTCATGTCTTGGGGCATGTGGGTACCCGTGACTCTGCGTGCCTTAAGTCGTGGTGGAGTGAAGTGGGGCACAATGTCTTTGCCGATACTGACGCCAGGAAATAACTTGGCACTTCGGCACAACGGTCACGTTTCTACCTCCAAGCGGTCACGTCTCTACCTGTTGTCGTTAAAGAGGCTTTGTAATGACGGTCAGACACCGGTCTCACTCAGATACCACATTTCATTGTCTCAACGACCAGGCACATATCCAGACGGTGAGATAACCACACAAGGTACAAAAAAGCAGCCCACACTTCCTAAAAGCACTGTAACCTAGCAAACCAGCACTTTCTCTTCCAAGCCAATCACAAACAACACCTCACAACCACAGGCGTCGCGCCGAGCACCTTGATCCTCTCCCCCGGGAACAGTCAGTCACCTACTCACCAACAGGGCACGCCAATCCCAATATGCAACCCCAACATCCCCCCAACCCACAGCCCCACCACGTCAAAACCACACCGTCATCTCCACCTTCCCCACCGTCGCCCAACCCGATGCGCCTCCCCGCCCCACCGCCACAAGCTCACCTTACCCCCGATCATCGCCCCAGTCCCGCAGCCGCCGTCTCAGCCAACACCAGCACCAGCACCACCATACCTGATCACTTCCCCACCATCACACCCAGCGGTGCCGCCCGCCGCTCCAACCGCCCCCTTCCGCACCTCCCGCCCCTCCCTGCCCCTCCACCTCCACCGGCTCGACACAGCGATCCACCTGCATCATCATCATTGTCACTATTATCACCACGAAGACAACGACGACGATTACATCTCCCGCACCGCCAGAGCCAGCGGCAGCGGGAATTGCCGTAAGGAGGGGCCGCGCGCCACTGTCACAAACACTGCCGCTTGTCACCTCCTCCTCCAAGAGACTGCCACCCGCGTGAACAGCGAGACCGTCGCCGATGCCGATGCCGCCCCCCCGCTAGATGGCTATGTGCGTGGGGTGAAAAGAAGTCATGAAGGCGCAAACTCATCAGGTCTTTGTCTGTCTCGTTCTCAGCACAACACGGCGAGAAAGAAAATCAATAAATAAATCAATAAACGCATCCCCATCTCCTACCTATCGTAAACTGTTCACGAAAGGTGACGCACTTTATCCGAATCTTGTGATGCTCTTTTCTTTTCTTCTTCGTGAAATGATTTTTATCATCGTCGTAGCCTACGGCGCAGATATATCTCTCTCCCCCCCTCTCGTTTTCCCTTCTCTCAACTCAAAAAAAAAAGAAGAGAAAAAAAAAGCTCTTACTTGCTTGCTTGTCAGCTCGGCCGAGTAAACAGATCATTGCCCTGCCCGCTGTACATACACAGACCACACAGGAAAAAAGCCCTCTCCCTCCCCTCCAAAAAAAAAAGAAAACCCGCAATAGAAGCCATCCTCATCCTTTATATGACGGCGCTGGTCAAAAGCATACCAGACAGCCCTCTATTCCGTTTCCTCCCCCTAGAAAAACCCCCCACACATAGCGCAACTGCTCGACCAGAATTTGGTCCTCCCCCCACCCCCCTCAAGAGAAATAAATAAAAAAAAGACCCGATATAGCATACACCCCACCCAGCCTCCAGAAAAAAAATAATAACGAGAGGATAGCAGTGGGGTGGTTGTAATCCCGGGGGTATCGTGTTTTTAGAAAACCGCACACTTTCTTCACCAAGGGAGAAAAATGCGTTGTGGTCCCAGAACCGACTGACCGCATTTTGGTAATCAAAAAGATGATAAGACGCAGGTTTCCGTCCAGAAAATAGCTCGTGTGATGAAACGTATGAGGATTTTCCATCAGCCCCGTAGATGAACGCGCGGGAAGGGAGTAATGGGCTCCTTCGGCGGAAGCGAGAAGGAAAAGAAAAAGAGAGGAAAAAAAAAAGGTGGGGGGGGGGGGGGTTAGCGTCCGGACACGTCCATTGCATCTTTTTCCTCAAAGTGTCCGTCGTGATGGGGAGAGAGAGAGAGACAGAGAGCGCTCATATGTGGCCGTAAAAAGGAACAAAGATTCTTCGCACATCCGATCCGTCCATCTTGACGCCCCCAACCGCTGTAAAAAACGCCCCGATATTTCCAAAAACGCTCACAATTTGAGCTGCAACTTGTAATCGATATTTTCCTTGCTCATCCACTCGTTGAGGAAAACGATGCCCATCCGGACGGCCTGGATGGGTGACGTATCGGGCCCGAGGGGCAAGTTGTAACTGCCCTCTAGACTGCCCACCTCAAACTTTTCCCAGCTTCGAGGATCGCTCTCGACGTCGACGCCCCTGGCACGGCCATCCCATGTTTTGGGGTAGTTGGAGATGAGGTCCTCGAACGGCAGCTTCGACCGGGACTCGGCAACCAATGCGACCATGTTCTGGATGTACTCGCTCATGGTGGAGAAAGCCTTTTCGGCTGTGAAGGCGTTCTTGTCGCCGCCATCTCCCGGCTGAGAAGGGCGCTGTGCCGCAAGTAAGGACGTGATGCGGGCGCAAATGATGGCGCCAAGCTGAAGACGTAGGCCTTCGAGGTGCGGGAATTCCTGACAGTTGTTCTTGAAAAACCGGAAGAGGGGGAAGAGGGTCCGCCAGCTGGTGTTCAGGTCGGTTGGATGATGGAAGAGGTGAGACTTGTAGTCCGAGGAATAGTAGGCCGCCATATAAGAGCTACGCAAAGGTCAGTAAACATGCTCTCTCGTCTATATCATTCGGTGATACCCACAGAATGCACTCCACGCTCATTACCGCGCCTCGTTTACGGTCTCGCAACGAAGGATGGCCCCTGGGATCACAGAAGCTTTGCGATTCATGCTTCAGGCGCCGACCGAGGTCGTTGAGCTTACGAGAGTGTGTTGTCCAGATTTGACTTTCACTGGGCCTGCCGTTGACCCCAGACGTGGGACCTTTTGCATCACTCGGTGTATCGGCTTGGGCTGGGGTGCTTGTTACACCGTTGCTATCATTCGAGACGGTACGTATCATGCCAATGGACTTGGCTTCTTTCCGCGGCGTAAGGTACTGAGCTTTCTGGCCGGGCTTATTGGGGAGGGATGGTGATTGAGTGGAGGGCGGCACTGGTGTCCGAGGCTTCTTGTCCAGGTCCAGATTGGAAGGCGCTCGTGGTCTCTTTGAAGGCGGGGCGTCTGCCGAAGGTTCGTCGGCAGCGCGTGGGCGCTTCTCTGCTACATGCCGTGCTTTGTTGTCCTTTCCATCCATGGCGCTTGGTTGGGCCGGTTTCCGCGATATCTCCTTGCTTGGCAAATCCTTGTTTTTGGAAGAACCATCCAACTTCCGTACCCTTTCCGGGACCTGCAGCTCTTCATTCAACACTTCCTGTCCCTTTTGGCGAGCCTTACGACCAGGTGGTAGCTTGAGGCAACGCTCAACATCCTGTCTCCGTTTTCTGCCATATTTAAGCTTAACAATAAGTTTGCGCGGCTTGTCTTGTGATGGCTTGATCATGCTAGCGCTTGTATGCGAAGGCGCTCGTGCATTCTTGGGCGTTGCCTCGTGTGAGCGCGGTTTGCTCTCGGATTCGTCCGCTTTGGAATTGGAGGGTTTCACCTCTGCGAGCCGAGACGTTGCTTTCGAAGGGGTGGAGGACTGGTGCGCCTTTAATTCAGGGCCAAGCAATGGCGTGCCAGACTTGCGTTCCGACAAGATAGACGTGCTGGAGCTGTTCCTCTTGTGTCGTTCGGCGAGCTTCTCGAGTTCGGCTTCAATGACATCGGGAAGTGTTGGAGAGAGCAATGGTGGCAAGCTAAGCGCATCTGGTGGGGATGTTATCGGGGAGATGAGAGGCGGTAGGCTATTGTCGTTGGGGTCTCGCGAGCTTTTTGTCGGTGGTGGTGTTGATCGAGATTTTTTCGCTAGCAGGGGCTTCTCCTCCTCTGTCTCGGACATTGCGCTTTATACGTGTGAGCGGTGAGACTTCCAAGTGCGCAAAACGTTCACTCACAAACTGAGGTCCTCCTTCTTCACGGGCTTCTGCGCATCGGCAGACTTGTCCGGCAGACCTCTCGACTCGTTGACAGAGGCCTCCTTCTTCGACTGATCCGGAACCGAGCCCGGCTTGGGCGGCAGACCGTTCGCCTGCTTGTTTTTGCTGTAGGCTGCCAGCGAGATCTTTTTCTTGGGCGCATCACTGCGCGGAGTGCTCGTGCCGCTCGGAACACTCTTGGTCTTCATGGCGGCGCGGCGATCCCTCTCCTCATCGACTTCGGTGCGACACACGAAACAGCTGTCGGCGTGGTCGCGGTACAGGAAGCTCATGTACTGGAGGCGCTCCTCACTCGGATCGAAGGGGGTGTTCCGACACCAGCTCTCCGCCTGCTCTCGCGACCAGTGGTGGTAGCGCGGCTCGGCGCAGGGGACGGTGATGATGTACGGGGCGTCTGGGACGTTTGTGCGGATGCGTTTGAAGACTTGGTCCAACTTATGCAGCTCCTCTTCATCCTCGGCCGCCAGAGAGGTCGAGAACGCGGTGGTCTTTGCTGCTTGGGTTATGGGCGGCGTAGGCGTGTCTGATATGGACATTGCTTGGGAGGCGGGCGGGCTGTACGACGTTCGGACGGGACGTGGAGAGAGGCGCGGTCAGGGCGGAGCTGGCGCGTGTCGGCGTGTTCCTGCGCGCAAGTCAGCGATTGAGCTCCTGGGTGCGCGCGACGCTGGTGCAGCGCGCTCACTTTCACTTCGGCCACTCCTCCGCTGACTCGGTCACGGGCTGGCGCTGAGCAGCATTCTGTCGGGCACCGCGGAGCTGGGCCTGGGGGGCGCTGTGGGCAGCGCGTGGATGGCGGCGGGTGCGGGGAGCGGAGCGGAGAGCGAGCGGCGGGAAGGTGTCGTGATGGGCACGTAGCGGGGGTCGCGGAGGCGGGCGTCGTTTCGTGAAGCTGATGCACGGCGGTGACGGGAGGGCCCAGGGTGCCCGTGGTCTTGGCGCATCTCGGGACGGACACGCGATGTTGCTCACTCGTCGCTCGTCGCTCGTCCCCCCGCAAGCGCGCCTTTGTTTCCGCGTCACATTGCCCTGGAGCTGCCTTCAACAATGCTCGCAAACGCGCGCGCATCTCGGTCAAGGCGTTTTTATCGCATTTCAAACACCAAAGCTGCACCTTGCCGCCGTCGTGATGGCCTTGGCCCTCGTCCCGCATCCCGCATCCCGCATTGCGCCTGCTGCGCATCAAACGCTCTGCGCCGATCCTTCACATCACATGCGACTACCCGCACTTGTGCAGTTTGTCGAGGCCAAACTAATTGGTCTAGGCAGTTAGCTACTCTTCGGTCCCAGTGCGCGAGTAATCGTCCGTAGTCCGTACTGCTTTTGCGAACGCCGGGCTCGTGCTGCCGGGTGCCCGTGCGACGTTACCTATGTCAAATAAACAACCGACTTCACCGTTTGCCCGCGAGTGGGAGAAGAACGGAATTTAAACAATCTTTGGCAGGGCTAAGTCTGACCTAAAGGCACGTGTGACGCCCTTCCAGGCCTGAATCATGATAAAAGGGGAAACCGCGCGCTCGCCGAACCACTCCTGCGCGAACGGGCGCTACGCGGGCTAGCGAGTTTGGTTGCCTCAAGGGGCAATGCCAACTCCACGACGTCTGGTGAAGCGCTGACCTAACTAATCGTGCTGCCGACCTCTGGTCTACGTCTCAAGAGATGATTGTAATGCTGTTAGACCTTGGCGTGACTGAGGTTCATCGTACAGCAATCGGGAAATCCGTTGGACTGACCGACTTTCAGAGTTCATCGTCATCATCATCCGTCGTCGTTGTCTCGTCGTCATCTTGTACTGCCCTTGCCGGTGTTTTCTTGACGATCCCGTTGCGCGGCTGTCCGCCCTGGTCCCTGATGAAAGGCAGTTCCCTGCGTGGTGGCGGCGCCTCCGGACTTTTCTGGCGCTGTGAGCTCTGACTTTGTGTCGCTGTCTCAGTTGCTTTGTCTCTAGAGCCTGGACCAGCTTCAGCCGGGCCGGCGGCGGGTATTGCGTCGAGGTCGTCGTCATCTTCATCCTCAGTCGTCTCGAGGTCAGAGTCAGAGCCCTCTGGGGTGGCAGGTTCCGCGATCTCCTCATCCCCTTCCAACTTAGCTGCAGCGTCGTCATCGTCCACGTCCATGCGTGAGGGTCTATCGAGCTCTGACTCGGAGTCAATGACGGGCGTTTCCATGGTTGCTTTGCGCTTCGAAGCCCGGGAGGGCCCGGCCTTGCGGGGCCGTGTATCCCTCTTCGTGTCCCTGGCCTGGTCAACCGCGGCCGCTGTTCCGCCGTTAGCTTTATTTCCAAATTGGAGAGGCCGGGGGCGGCACACCTACGGCAGGGTCCACCTTTGCGCCTGCGAGCAGCCGCTGCTGGTCCCTGATTTTGAGCTTCTTCGCATTCAGAAGGTCCTGGAACTTTGCGAGGAGCGCCTTCTCATGGTCGTTTTTGGACTGGATCAATTCGTCGAGCTGGGATTTGAGTTTGTTGATTGTGACCTGCTGCGCCTCATGCTTGTTCCGGAGCTCGCAAGCCCCGTCACGAGCGGCGGACGCGGTCTCGACGGCGATCGCGGTCCATTCAAAGAATTCAATCTCCGTGTCGCAATCCTCCGCCAGTGGGATCACGCCCAGCCGTTGCTGCGGGCAGGCGTCAGGCGATGTAAACAAATGACGTCAACCCCCCTACTCACCGTTATCCCCTGGATGTTCTTCCGCACCGTGAGGTTCAAGTGCTGATCGCTCACAGACGCGACGATCTCCACGTTCTCGAGCAGCTTCGCGTCATCCCCGGCGGTCGGCCGTAGCAGGAGGCTGCTACGCAGTATTGATTCCCACTCATGATCGTCGCCCGTTTTGGACCTGCGGTCACGAAAATTCCGGATTTGAGCCCCGCGAACTGTGCGTTTTCCGGCCAGGCCGTCAGCGTGAAACGCACGCAGACGTCAGAAGCGGGCGCGATGGAGTGACGGCTGCTTACCTGAAGCCGCGAAGACGCTCTCGCCCTCGGTGCCAACAAGCTTGACGTCGAGCGGCTCGGGACCGGCGGGCTCCACGGCGAGCAGTGCGTAAGCGGGAGTGGCTTCGTCCACATCGGTCCTTCGCACTCGCAATATGTGCTTCGCGGCCATGGCGTCGGCGGGACGGGTGTGGGATAGATGGTCGGAGGCGAGGCGCACGGGAACAAGGCCAACAAATTTTTCGCGTGTCGGGATGGGCGTGCTTATGAAACCGAGGCGGTTCGAGCGAGGCGTGGGTCGCCGGGTGATGACGCCTGGCGGACCCCTGCGGCTCTGGTGTTGGCGGCCTGCTGCCTGTGTGCCTGCCTGCGGCCTTTCCTGCGGCCAGAAGCAGCGCGCACGGCCGCCAGGCACGGAAGCGTGGGGTTGTGAGGTCGGCGGCTCGCGTTGCCATACGAGACATGGGCCCGCGCGCTGGAGCCGGCGGCTGAAGCGGAGCGCCCATTGCGGCGCGCCAGGCCGACGCGAGCGGGCGCAGCGCAGCGCAAGTGCGCGCCTCGCCCCCGGGGGCGGCCGCGTCAATGGCAGCTACAACAACCAGCGCGCCAGGCACAGACTCTTGGTGGCAGGGCCGCGGCGTCCGCATGCACCTCAGCGGCGGGCCGGATGCGTGATCGCCGGTGCCTGGCCCGGGCGTGGTGACGGAGTGGAGCCCTGAGCAAACGACGACACGGCGACGGGCGCTCGAGCCGGTTGGGCGTAGGCACGTAGGCAGGCCTGAGGGCGACAGGCGAGGCTTTGCTTCGCAGCGCTCCCAGGCGCGCCTACAAGGGTCTTGCGCCAAGCGCACAGCCGGTGGCCCGCGCGCGTGCACGTCGCCTGCAACGCCCGACCTGCCACCGCAGTCGATCGCAGCACCTCCAACCTCAAATCCTCCACCCTCCCGGGCTGCGCGCCCCAGACCCAAGCATGGCCTCGCTCCACCGAGGCAGCTTTCACGAGCGCGCCGTCCACATGTCGCCTCACATCGAAAACTGGGACGACGATGACGACTTCCACGGCGACTTGTTCGCCCAGAGCGCTTCGTCGCACGCCAACCTCTCGCGCTCGTCGCGCGCCCCGTCGCTGCGCTCCGAGTCAGCCGCCGGCGAGGAGGACTGGCAGGTCCTGCTCGCTCCCAACGACGAGGCCTCGACTAAAGATGCCATCTCCTCTGCCAAACATGCTGGAATCCCCATTCCTGCCTCTGTGCCGTCCTCGGCTCTTCTCGGTGGAACCATTAAGCGTCTGGGAAAGAAGCCATCCCGGCAGAAGATCCACCAAGATGATGACTGGGCCGACGACCTCGAGCTGCCCGGTCCAAGCTCGGGCACCCTGAAATTAAAGACTCCCCAGCGTCCCCAAACGCCTTCCCAAGACGAGGATGACTTCGAGGACTGGGCTGAAGGCGGTTCCCTTGGCATTCGCTTTGGTGGTACGCGACGCGACACACGCACCCGCGGTTCCTCTGTGTCTGCTGCCATGAGCCCCAGCATGGGCAGCTGCATGACCCTCGAGAGTGAGGACGACGACTTTGGCGGCCTGGTGCTTCCCAAAGAACCCATCGACTTCAATGCCGTGCTGCGCAAGCGCCAGGACGTCGAGACCGACGACGAAAAGACTCCCCAGCCCGAGCCACGCCCTCCGCAGGAAGGCGCCGCCGACATTGACCACCAGGAAGAGCATGAGGAAGCTGAGGCCGCCGCGCCGCCGCCGCCGCCGCCCGTTGAAGAAGCCGCCCCCCAGTCCGACAACGAGACCGTGCCTGAAGCGGCGCCAGACCACCCCCCAGCTGAGCCGGAGCCACAATCTGCGCCGCACCCAGCGCTACCCATGCCGCTGGCGACCCTGAAGTCTGTTCCCGAGGACGACGACTTCTTCGATGACCTGGACGTGGGATCTGGAGACATTTTGGATCCCGCCAGACTGACTGTTAACCGCAACGTCAAGGTCAATTCAAACAACAAGCCGCCGCCCACACCCAACGTCCGCGCCACCACGACTCTCACCTTCACCGACAAGCCGTCTGTGACCTCGACCTCTCGCATACCCAGGCCAATGGCTCCTGTAGCACCTCGATCCCGGCTTGACCCCGTCTACGAGTCGGGCGCCTTCTACCCAAACCGCAACGGCCGGATAGGTCCCACCACAACCAGCGCCCAGCTGCTGAGGGCCAAGCGCTCGGCCCCAGTGCTTCGCAGTGACTACAAACCGAGCAACAAGCAGCCGACTAAGCCCTTTCTCCCTGCCGGCATATCAAACAGGCAGTCGCAACACATTGCCACCAAATCCTCCATGGGCCAGCTTCGTCGCGACTCTGATCCCCGCGCTCTCTCGCCCACCCCCCGAACATACTCTCGGCTCTCGCGTCAGGTGGAGACACCCAGTCGGACCGGAAACCGAAAGGACATCGCTCCTGCTTCCCTGGTTCGAGAGGCTGCGACAAAGCGCATGTTCACAAAGCCTGCACGCAAACGCAACTTCGGCGATGGCTCCGAGCTTGATGCATTCGATGATCTGCCAACTTCGTCGACGAAGGAGAACAAATACGTCAAGCAGCCTTCTAACCGTCAGCCATCCAAGATGATCCGACAAGTCAGCCACAGCAAGTTGCCGATCAACCCCGAGACGTCCATGCAGACGCCTCAGCCACCGACGCCGAAGAAAACTCTCCGACGCGAGAACACACCCAGCTTCGCACGTGACACCGCGTCAAGTCGGATAGCCAGGGAGGAACGACTAGGTGGGCCCAAGCAACGACCGGACTCCGGGCCTTTAATGCCGATCAACACTAACTGGAAAACTCAAGTCGCCACGCGGAATCCTCCAACTAGCCCGCAAGCGAATAGAAAAAGGGCCACGGGACAGAAGCCCTACCTGATCAAGCAGATGAACACACCCGCAGTCAAGAGTATGTACACAGCTTCGGGACCCCGCTTAGATATGGATACGATACTGACAGACATGTAGACGAGAAGGGCATGACGTACAATCCGGTTCTCCACCGCTGGGAGGGTAACGAAGGCGCGCTAAACCGATTTTCGTCGCCTGTGCAGGAGGTCAAACGTCCGCGCATTGCCTCTAATCACTCATACTCGTATTCTCAGCCTCAGGCTCCTCCTACTCATCACCAGCACACGCGTTCAACCCCATCATTCCCGACGCCTGCACCGGCGCCGAACGCAAGCTCACCACCGCGACCAGCCCTTATCTCGCACATCTCGTCGTCGCGTGGCGTTCAGATTGAGAAAGGCATGGTTTTCGACCCTCGCAAGATGTGCTGGCTTAAACTCGACCCGCGTCACACGGGCCCGATATCTCCTGCTGCCTCTATCGGGGACGAGTCGGATCCGTTTGCTGATATCGAGGACCTCAAGGATGACGTCGAGGTTGGTGCTGGTGTTGGTGGATACTTCTCCATCCAAGGAACCGCCAGTGTCGCACAGACTCCCATGGAGACGTTCGTGTCCGAGGAGTTCGACCTTGGTCCCGGCTTCATCCGACGTCAACGCGAAGAGGAAGAAGTCTGGCGTAGGAGAGTCGAGGGCTGGGTCGGCGAGAGACGAGAGTTTCTCGGCGATGACTGGCGATGGGCAATCAGGGACCTGTCCATCGAAATGGCCGAGCATCTTCCTCGGTAAATGCACGGCGCTGCCGTAGCCGACGCGACGAATACTCACCACGACGTCGCACCATATTGATGAGGTCTCACGGCCCCCTCATGTGCAAGAGAAGAAAAAGAAATCATGGTATTTGGGAATCTACTCCATGTGTTCCCTGGTGGCGTTATTGAATTCTTGCCTTTTTCAGTTTGCTTTTTCCTCCCTGTTTGAGTGCCACGAGTTCCCTTTTCGCATTACGAATCTCGTTTCAGGTCTGGGATGGGATTTGGGAAATGGGTTCTTTTTTCTTTTTCATCAAAGGAGGGGCGAGGGAAAAAAAGGGACTCGATTCCCCGGAACTTTACGACCTGTTCACGACCGCGATACACCTATACAAAGCCTTAACGACCGGACACGACTTTGCGAGAGTTTTATGATGATCACGAAGAATTTCTGGATTTTTGTTTTTTCGCGCGTTGTTTCTTTGGTTGATTCCGATCTTTCTGTACTCGCGTTGCTTTTGTTTCTTCTCTCAGACCGAGTCGATTTTGATTACTTCACTTCGTCGTACTCGAGGATAATGGCGGAGGCCGAACTGTGTTACTTTAAGATTCTTTGGGTGCATGGCCTCCACGATGGGGCAGGGCAGTGAGAGTTGAGGTGAGGTGGATGGGCATGACATGGCATTCACAAATGCAACGGGTAGGGTTGAGTTGGGAGTCTAGGAGGGAGAGACGGACGGACGGACGGACGGAGAAGGGCACCGGACTCGGGATTTGCATCGTTATCTGGTTGACGATTTCCTACTTGATTGTTCGCTGCTTGGAACGGGCACGGAATAATGGCTGGAGAGACGGGAGAGCATATCTTTTTCCTGCATCTTGCTACTTTTCGTTTTTGTTCTGTTCTCTGTTTTTTGGTCGGGTTCACTCGATATACCTCTAGGCTAGTTGGTTAAACGATCTTCGCTTCTCACAATCTCTTTTGCCAAGATTCAGAGTGATGGCCATACTTTGCTCTTGCCGCAGCCAGCCACAGGTAGGCGAGAAGGAATCCTTCGCATCATCAACGCAGTTCTAGGCCCCAGGATTCCTAGCCACATGGCCTCGTCACGGATCGCCGGAGGATTGACGGGCGTAGCTTGGGAACTACCACCATATTGCGGGCCTTACTACGTTGGTGATCGGCCACTACCATCAGACCCTTTCGCCCTGTTACCATAGAAACCCGTGCGCCCGTTTATTTTTTATTTTTTATTTTTTTCTGGGTTCGCTTGCTTGCTGCCCTCTCTCTCTCTCTCTCTCTCTCTCTCCACATCTCTCTCTCTCGCAACAACCTCGGCCGTGCGTACGTAGTAGGTAAATTAGTTTGGGCATCATCGATCTGCGCACCACCACCAACCACCATCATCGGCGCCCCGTCACGGACCAGGCGCTAAAAGGGGAGGCCGACGGATACCTACCTAGCGGATACCTACGGACGTACATACCTACGCCATGAGCGATGGCACTCTGGGGCTGCGCAAATCGAATCGAGACTTTTTTCTCTAGGGCCAGCCATGAGTAGTGGCGTGGCAACGAGGGAGGGGGGCGCGGCGGCGGCGCACCGGGGAACCATGATGGTGGTCTTGCATCCATCTTGGCGGGGAGGGGGCGTTTCAGCAAGTGCCGGAGGATTTCGGCCGGCTGTTCGTAATGCGTGGCGCCGCGCGGGGCTGAGTCGGGTGGTGGGTGGTGGTCATGTTGCTTTGGCGTTTGTTTGGGGTTGGGTTCGAGTTCGAGTTTGTCGACGAAAGAGGGAGGGGAAGTGTGTGGTTTGGGCGTTGTGCGTCGCATGTGCGTCCGTTGGTGCTGCGACGACGCGACGACGCGACTCGCGGCTTTCTAGTTTTTTTCTGCAACGGCGTGTGTGTGAGCAGCGGGTTGGGTGGTGCTGGGCGCAGCAAAGCAAGCAAGCAAGCAAGCAAGCAAAAGCAGAGGCATGCAAAAAGCAAGCGAGCGAGCGAGCATCGACTCCACGCGTCTCATGGCGTCGTTCGGGGGATCGCCCAGGATCGCCTCGCCTGCAGGACATCTCTGCCTTGCCCTATCTCTCTCCACTCGCTCTCTCTCTCTCTCCCCACTTTCCGTGCTTGCCTAGTGCGGGACATGACACGCGCGTTGTTGTATCTCTGTCGGTCGTCTGGCAGGATTCTTCTTCCACGTGGCAGGTGTGCATGGCCGGGGACATGTGATTGGACCACTGGAGCCAAATCAACGGTCGACACCTATTAGTCCTGATGCGGGTTGGTCGGTTGGTCGGTCGGTCGGTCGGTCGGTCGGTCGGACCTCTCGCTTTCTCTCGTTCTTCCTGACTCTCTCTCGTGATGCTCGCGAGCCCAACGCGTTGTTGTCGTGCGGTATATTTCGACCGAGGACGTGGTGCCACTGCCTTGATAGCGGTGGATAGTCGCTTCGATGCAAGACAACGGATCTGAGCATCGGAAAACAGCTTCTGGCGAGCCCGTGCTTGGGACCATTCGCCTCCTGCTATGATGCCCAACAATAGTAAAGGCCACATTTCAGCTTCTCTTTCGATATCCGGCCTGTTGGCACTTCCAGTCAATCAGTGAATCCACCTTTACTGTGTTGACGCAGCTGATGGCTGAAGCAAACTACCACCAATGCTCGGCGAGACTCACCAGACCTTATCTACGTCCGTACCGCTACAGTTGATACCCCCCATGCCCATAATCCGTATTTCTCCAGAAGTCACATGCACGTCCGTATAATCGCTTAAACTGCCTCCATAACCCCCCAAAAAAATAATATCAAAGCACCCCTCGCAAGCAAGGGCAAGTCCTGCCGTACCCCACTGGATAACGAGAATCCCCACTGCGGCCCGTGCGGAACCACTGCCCCAAGGAGACGCAAGTGAGGCAATTTAGCTGTGGTCACGATCCCACCCACCCACACCCTCGATGCTCCATGGGACCGACCTACCGAGAGATACTATCGTTATTGCCTATCCAACGGCCACACAGACGGGTACACTAAAAGTTCCCAGCCCAACCTACGCATCGAACCATCACCACCACAAGATAACGGTCCTCGGCTTCCAAGGGAGTTCCGCATCACGCGCCGCCGGTACACCAGCCTTCCCTCCCTCTCCCTCTCTCTCTCCCTCTCTCTCACACGCACCGGGCGGCGGCGGCGCCAAGGTAGCCAGTTCCTCGTGCGGGTACCCTGGTTCGTTTATACCGTAGACTCCCGCCGCGGTTCTGAGAGACCGGTTGATTATAACGCCCTTTATTGCCCCACCCCACCAGCGTCAGAGTGGATGGCCTCCACATAGGTAATAAGTGGCCATCGGTTAGCGGAATATTTGTAGCTCCCTTCTACCAAGAGCCTTTTCGTGCTGGAGTGCTGCTTGACTCTCCCCCCGTCGTATTGTCGCGGGGACGATGGAACTGTGCTTCCGTGCTCGGCCCCTGCTGCTCGTATACTAGAG